ATTTCAGCTGCTTTGAGGGTTGTTTTGTTTCATTAAGCTGGAAAGCAGCTTGTGTGGGAAACACATTTTGCACATACAATCAGGAAAAGTATGATACTCTATTTCTGGAGATGCACAGTCAAGAGCTGGGAGATTTTGGCACTTACTGAAACAAATAGCTTTTGAACATCTGAAATTGTTCCTGAATATATTTTGATTACAGTGTGAGCATGGTAGTAAAGGAGTCTCTTGAGAAAGATTCAAATATTAATGTCATTCGGCTGGGAACTGATTATCTCCCAAGACAGAGCTGTTAGGTTTCTCATTGAAAAACTTTTCTGCTGACTTGTGGAAGGAGTCAGAGTTGGGACTGCCCTCTGCAAGCAGGGTGCTGAGCCCTGCTTCAGGCAGAAACAGTAGTTGTTCCCACACTGGTCAGTGACAATATCTCCCTTTTAGCCTCCAATGTGACTTGATTTTGACCCCAGACCCTTTGCATCTCACTGTTCTTCCAATTCCTTTTCTTGCCTCCTGTAGGCATCACTGGCGCATGCTGTGATTCCAGATCCTGGCACTGCCCACCAGCTGAGGTGTCCCTAACACCTGTGCCAGGTCTGCTAACACAGGGAAATGAACTGTTTTATTGGACTGCGCCTGGTCTATTGCACTGGCTTGTGGAGTTCAAGAGGAGCTGCACCTACAATCAAAAGACTTTTATTCTCTTTAAAGAAGTTCTTTATTTTGCTTTTCTGGAGAGAGATGGAAATCTTTCTCTCCATTTTTTGCCTTGTGACCAACGACTGGGTTTGTGGACACAGTACTTGTATAAAAATGGGAATATCTTTAATTTGTTGTCCAAAAAACTAAGTTTCAGAAATTAAGAAGGTCTTGGAGTCCTGCTACAGGCGACAGACAATAAACAGAGAAGAACAAGTCAATGCTTGCTACACCATAGCTAATTCTGCCAGCTCCAGCACAAGTGTTTCGATAACTGTATTATTTTTTGTTGTTGTTCAAGCCTACTTCTGGGGCCAAGATTTGTAAAATTTTATTAAAAAATAAACACATAATTTCTGAAAAAAACCTGTAAACGAGAGGCCAGATGCCCTTGAAGTCTCAGTACTCAGTCAGCACTCTCTCCCAAACTGCACAATCACTTTTTTTTAATTTCATAAATTTTAGAACAATCTGATGATTTTTGAATCTTTGACATTGACAAGTCTGATATTACATCTGTCTTTTAGAGCTTTAGGGATTTTTTGCATTTTCTCAAACTGCAAAACAGTTCCCCCATCTGTAATGTGAGTACAGTTCACAAGGAAAAAAAAATCCATTAACATTAATGAAATAGTTAAATTAAAAAAAAAAAAAAAGAAAAACACAACACTATAAGAAAATCTAAAAATTATATAGCTAGTTTTCTGCTAGTAGTCACTCAGCCACTGTTTACAAAAATTCAATAAGTGTGTTTTACAAAGCCAGAATCAGAACACTGAAGAACAACCAAAGCTGAACCGTGGCCTCTGTTCCTTCAGAATTGTCTTTTAAAGAAAAGAGGAAAAAAAAGGAAAAGGTTTGCACTCTGATCAGCTTCAGCAGCTTCTCTCTACACAGAAGTTGCATGGTTTATCAAATACATTATGCAGCTTCTTTATCCATTCAACAGAGACAAATCTGCCTTTCACTTTTTAAATAATATAGGGAAACATGTAGAAAGAATGTAAAAATTAGAGAACACAGCAATGGTGTCATTTTGTACAGTCTAATACAAAGTGTACACCGTGATACAGTCAGCAATTAAATGGCTGTCACATGGTCTGCAAAATTGAAGCACCCTGATCCTCTGGCTCACTTGTCTACCTACACCCATCTCTATATGTTACATAGTGAAGCTTATCAAGTTCATCCAGGTTACTAACAGAAATAAAGGCAAGCACACAGAAAAACTACGAAAGAGCCAGGACAGAGTTCAGAGTTAACAGAATTATTTTGCCTTTGAGAAGCAAGGCATGCATACCTCACAGCAAAATTAGGATAGCCTAGCAAGATGAAATATTTGTAGGTATATGTATACAGTCTCATGCTAATAATTAATTTGTCTTGTAAAGGGTAAGCACTGTTGAAAGTACTTTAAAAAAATTACTAACAACCTCAGACAGAAGTTGCTGTCAAACAGAATAGAACTAACTGCAATTGAGATCTGTAGCAGTAATTGATACAAACATTGACATTAATGCTGAGATACTTACTTGGAAGAATTAAGCCTCTCATAAACCTCTTTCCATGCAAAAACTGACCTTTTAAACTAATGACAGAGTTCTCTGTCTCTCGCATGGGAACTCAGCATACCCATCACTGCTTTTTCCCCAACTGCCAGAACAAATCCCTTTTCATCCTTATTCTATATCCTTTTTTAGGACAGTTGCAGCTCATGATAATGATGAAACAATAGCTAAATGGAATAAAGTTAGTTCTTTAATCAATAAAATGTTCTTTCCTGAGTCTCGTCTGAATAGCTTGTGCTAGAAAGAGGCTGAAATCATTGCAAATCAGTATAATAAAATGATGATGACCAGTTCCTTTGTAGAAAATGAAGCAATAAAGAGTGTTAGCTTTATGTTTTTATTGATAGACCATACTGGAGACCACACACATTACCATTATATAGGAGAAAAAAACATAGCTGTTTCAACAGACAAAAAATAAAGTGCAGTTGATTCATCGGCTCCTTTAAGAGGACTGGCATCTGGACCACATGCACTTCAAAGTCAAACGCTGCACTGAGATGTGCTGCTTTGAAGTACAGCTGCTGATCCAGACAAATTTTGGAGCCTAAACCAGCATATGAATCTGCTGTACTCTGAATAAAAATCTATTTCAGATGCCAGTTTTGACTCATTTTAGAAAATTGCTGTCTGGATCGGCTGAACTTCAAAGCAGAACATCGCAGTGCACCATTTCCCTTTGAAGTGCAGCTAATCCAGATAGTGGGTTTTCTCCCCGCCCCCCTTTTTTTAACTAGTTAAAATAGGCATCTGACCTTACCAGTATTTCTCCTCACCCTCTGTACATTCTTCTTCCCTTCTCCCTTACTCCTCTTCTTTTGACCTCTCTGAAAAATACAGCAATAGGCACTATCTCGTTAGCTCCTGCATTACCAAAACCACTATAAAGAGGGTGGCTGTGGAATAGCCTATATCAAGTCATGGACAGTGGCCAATTACTGAACATGGATTGTCATAAAGTTTGTTAATAAATAATGCGTAATTTTAACATCCAAGAAAAATAAATCTCAAAATAAATCCCTTGTAAATGCTTGTATTCAGAGTGTTCATAACCATATTTCCGTGGTTCTGCTAACTCACATTAATGGTCATTGGCATTGGTTTAAAAAGTAGCTGAGCTTAACAGCATTTCAACTTTAAGAAATTTTAAGCTATTTTGTGACAGAAAGGTTCACAGTCAAGTCAGGAGGGCATTAAGAAAACGGTTTTACTGGGGAAGGAATGAGATTACTCAGGCAGAGTTTGTCCAGCTTCTGGCAAGGGGAGCCAAGAGTAAATGCAGAGCACTCCCCAGGACAGGACAAAAGAGGAGCTAAGACCTGGTCATCCAGGAGAACCTTCCTGTAGTGGAGTTTATCATGTTTTAATGCAATCTCTTCCTTACTCCAACTGTTGCCAGTTCCATGATGTAACGGAGACCAAGGGGAAGGGATTTCCCTCTGGAGAAGTGCATAAAAGTCAATAAATTATTCTTCTCTCTTAGTAAAGTCAAATCAGAAAATGTGTTTTGAATGTCGAATATAATCATGGTGCTGTTTGCTCAAATAACCACCTACTAAAGAAAAGTCTTGAACAGACTAACAACCTTCTCTGTTACATCGGCCTGTCAAAAGGTTTTGATCTTGCTGAGAGGTACTGAATCCTGCTGACTCATTTTTACAGGTGGCTCATGAGAGCCTTTCAGGGGTACACCTCCCAGGAGAAGGAGGTAGGCTGGACAGTCCCCAGGACAGACCTGGAGGAACAGGAACATCTGGTTTCATAAATAAAAATAAATCTTGAAAAAAAAGTGGGTAAGCTCTAGCCCTGAACAGTGCTTGTGGATTGTATTTGGAAGAGGCTTATTTTTCCCCAAGCACCTTAAGTCCTGCGAAAGCAACATTACTTTGCAGACAAAACACAGGAGCAGGGTCCAGAGCACATGGAGAGACACAGCACTCTCTGGGCTTCTCCAGCCACATGGGACATGTTTTTTCTTAACCCCTCTGTGCTCAGACCTCTGAAATAGGCATCCTCTCCTCACCTCACAGGTCATGGGTGAAGGCAGCTGGTGTTTGTGAGGCTTGACAGAGAAGCACAGGAGGAAATTAATTGTTACTTCTCTCCTCCTAGCAGGGAGGGAAGAAAGTAGGCTTCATGTCCTTATGCTGCAGCCAAATCAATGAAAAACTACAATGCATTTTAACATTGTCATAATCTATATTTGCAAGAAAACTAGATGAATGTTAGAGGCGCACTCTTTATTCTGACAGTTCCCAACTTCTGACTGAGTGACTTTGCCACTCGCAAGACCTTGCTAATGCTCCTGTCTTATACACACATAAGGGATGCTTCCATTTGCTCCTAAATTAAAAGACAAATCATGAAGAAATGTTGCACTCTGTTCAAACTACAAAGACAAAGCAAAAAAAACCCCACACAAATATATGCTAGTAGAAGAGGACAATTTAATGACAGCATCTCTCATTTGCTGAGAAATAACTCTGGAGAGAGAAAGGACTGGACAACAACCAGCATTTTATTTACACAGATCATGAGACATGTCACTTGGGTGATCTGTTCTTGTCAGGCAGTACTTAATTAGAAAATTCCTAGAGAGAACTCCTGCTCCCACTAGGTGCTTATTAAAATCTAGACAAAAGGAGTTAGTAGAAAAGCCTGAGGAATGGACAGAGAACTCAGGTTACACTGGAAGGGAAGAGTCAGCTGCTGCTAGCATAGGGAGAGGCACTCAGGATGGGATGCTGGATTTTGAATGAAAAACTCTCAGTGCTGTTATTAGTGAGTATTTTTAGCATTAAAAAATCTAATTGGATATATATAAATATTTTAAGCTTGTTTAAAAGACATTTTATGGTTTGCTTACAGTAATACTCCCAAGCTTAACGTAAAACTTGCTATAAAATATTCAGCAGCCTTTTTATAACTAGTCTTAAAAACAATTTAAAGTCTTGCTGTTTTATTTTTAATTATTTTTAAGTCCATGTACTTTAGTCCTCAGATAAAGGGAACAGGCATTTCCAATTGTAATTGAAATTTTATTCTGAATTATTTTCAGAGGCTTTGGTGAACTGCCTATGGGGGCAGAGAAAGGAATTTCCTCAGCTCCTAACTCCCTCCATTTCTGGAATTCTTTAATTTCAGCTTTTATTGCCTTTTTAGAAACCAGGCTAAGCCCTGTGTTTAAGATCAAGTTTACCATCACACAGTAAATGTCATCTATATCCTCTATGAGGGATGTGGGGATAGGACTGTAATCCTGCATTTGCTAAAAGACAGCCTCATTCTAGCAGGCATTTGTGACTTCTATCATCTGTGATCAAGAGCTTCATTGCACCCTGATTTTGTAGTATCTCTCAGATACTTTTAAAACTATAACCGTAACCAGTTGTATATGTATTAAAAATACTGTACGTGTCTAAACTGTAGCCTGTCTGCTTTGTAGTTGGTGTGGCTGGGACTGAATTTCTATTTGTTTATTGATACGTTCCACTGGTATGAAGACGAAGATGCTTACATTTATACACGGATTATGCTGGGAGTAAGTACAAGTTTGATTGTTAAAGGGCTCCACAAGAAGAATGTATGCATAGTCTGATTTTATTTACATCCTTCATAATAATATTTTTCATGCTTCAACAATAATTTTCCCATATAACAGTATTATGTTGATATAGTATTTTCTTTCTTTTGCTCTTCCTATATCAAGCTTGTAATTTAATTTCTTTATACTGTTATATGTACAGTCAACCCTGGCTTGGGCAAGAGCTTCTGCAACGTGCCTTAATTTTAACTGCATGCTAATCCTGTTACCAGTCAGTAGAAACCTTATTTCATTCTTGAGAGGAGCAAGCATTGTAAGTATCATTTCTCAAATAGCCATATTATCCTCCCTTTTTTATTTCCGTAGTTCAGCAGTATTATCCACATCAAACATTTTCCAAGGAATTTTAATTTTTGATAGAGAAGCCTGTACACTACTGACTAGTTATTACCATTTAAATTGTCAGTATTCATGACTGAAGAGAAACAAATGGCTTGTTTAACACAGTGCTCTAAATGCAACACTGATTTTGGCAGCCACTGCATAGCATGGTGTCATGAAGTGAAAAGTGAAGAGCTACAAAAAGGGGACGTAATAATGCAACTCAGCCAAATGGAGAAAATGCGTACCCATCACATGTATCCTGTGTAGCTGCAAAGTGAAAATTGGAGAGAGAAAATGTACGGATAGATAAAAGTGTCATAAGGAAAATAAGGAACATGTTTAAACTCTTCTGTCTGAGTGGCCACCATTCCGGTCTTCCCTTCTTTCAAACAGATGTTTTTGTAATGGAGTGGTCATCTGCTCAGAGGCATTTGCATTAACCTTGGCATCATGCATAGGAAGTACTTAAGGCTTTAGCTCTACTAGCTATAGCTTCAACATGCAGTGAATGATTTACAATCACAGCAACTCCAATAGCACATTTGGTTACAAAATCACAGATCACTTCATGACTCCAAGAACAACAAGGATCTAGAAATTGTAACATTAATTTATTTTATTGTAAACTGGTTCTTATTTCAGTTCTGCTTTTTTTTTTTTTCTTCTCCTTCAGTCAGAATACTGTTACATTTACAGCAGTCTTTAGGCTGGGAATCAACACTGTTTTATAATTGTTTGAGTCCAGGGGCTGAGAATTTAAGAAAAAAAAAGATCTCATTGGGCTTCTGAACCAGTTTGTGAATTAAGATAAAGTATTTGCATGCCCATTTAGATGCTGAGTAAGAACTTAAAGAATTGGAACTCTTCTGGCAGATAATCAATATGTCACTCTTCTGGACAATAATCTGCTCTTGAGGAGCATGGTACAGAGCAACTTGACTGGCTCCAGCCTGGTCAGCACAGGGCTGGATCCAGTGACTCTCCAAGGAGGTGCTGTGTCTTGGCATTGCACCTCACGGTGCCCCAGATTTTTGGAAGATTTATTAGCTGGAAAACAACATGGATAGATGCCAGGGTCTTTGGCATGGCACTGTGCCAGGTCAAGTGAGCAATCCAGACACCCACAACACCATTCAGAGCCTGAATGAAGTCTGTGAGGGCTGTCTGGGTTCCAGCAGAGCGTGTTAGTTTTGGCAGATCGCCGCCCATCCCAGCCCCAGGCTGGCTCTGCATAGAGGCACCCGGCTGGCTGTCATCACACCAGCATCCAGCACTTCCAATAATGGGAAGACAGCTCAGTAACATGTAAGCGTGCAGCCACCTGAGGTCTAGACAGTCTCACCCTCCTGGGGTTTGCATTTCGTGAAAACAGCGAAAATGTTTTCATTGCGAGCTGGCTTTGCCAGCAGTTCAGCTGTGTTCGTGCAGCTAAACCTGAGCTTGCAAAGCTGTGGTGGCCCAGCCTGGTGTCCTTATATCAGCAAATGGGTTAATCACCAGCCCAGATAAACCACTCACAAATCACAGCTAAATGTAGCAGAGTTTTATCAAATCTGTTTTTGAGCCCCTACATAAGCTGAATAGCTTAAGAAATCCTGGAGTTTTACTATGCTGAAAACAGTTACTTGAGCCCCAACGTTAAGGCTAACTCAAAACTTCCACTTAATTCCTTCAACATATTATTTTTTAAATGTACTGAACTCCTCTCTTCTCATCTCCAAAATGTGAGTTGTAAATAGTAATAGGAATGGTATAAAACAAGTTCTGCTTTTTCACCAAGTGCTGTGGAGGAGCACTGAGGAGACAGCTTGAAAAAAACATTGCATTTCACAAGATGATTGCCTATGGAATAGCTGTAAATGCAAGTAAGTTTTATTTTCTATTTTTCTTCTTTGCCTTTGAACTGTTTTGAATTTCACAGTGATTCTGCTTAATACTGTAATCCCCATCAGCTCTGAGACGTGCTATTTTAGTGCAATCATTTGGTGACTGCAGCATTAAAACACATGTAGGAGTCCCATGTGATTAACCATTTGTAACCTTTTTTGCTTGAGAAATGTTTGACTGTTAAGTCCATAAACTTTCAATCTGGATAGTAACTACTAGTTGCCATTTAGTTAATGTGACCAACTTGTGTGCTCTTAACATTTAGTGTAAATACCTTTCATTAAATCCCTGAGAGTAGATGTTTGGGGAGATGACATAGAATAATGATTTGAGTTCCTAAGGAGATGGTGTTTACAAGTCACACCGCTCATCTGTCCACTGCTACATCTTCTTCAATAATTTTTCAACCAGGTAATAAATCTAATCTGAATTTGAGATAAGCAGCTGTCTCAAAAACATTAAATTCCTAATTGTTTGGGTTTTGGGTTTTTTTCTGACAGGTGATGGGTAATGGCCCCCTTGAGGGAAATACTGCATTTTGAGATCAAAAGTTATTTGTTCTGCTGGTCCTAGTGACTTTCTGAGCTACAGGTGTTTGTTCACCTGGTTAGGAAGAAGACATGGCACCTTCCTGTTCCCCAAGTAGTTAAAGGACCTGGAGAAGACTAAGCTTGTAGGAATTTGGAGGACATGAGGGGAAGAGGAGATAACATGGGGAAGAGGGATGTGCAGAGAAGGAAGAACAAAAGGCAATATGAGGAAGGACTTAAGCACATAGAGATGGAGAGGTATCTGGGGCAGATAGTTCTCTTAGAAAACGCAAAGGAGACACAGGAGTTAATCACGGTTATTTGCAAGCATAAGACATTGCAGGGTAACAGTTCTACCCCCAGGCTGGCAGGGTGGATCCTGGTCCCAATATTTTCTTTAGTCTACATGAGGCAGCTGCTTTTGCGTGTGTAGACTGTTAATGTCACCGTGCAGTGAGACAAGAACATGAAGCCAGGATTGACATCAGGAATCAATAGCTAAAATTTGTCCTTTGTATGTATTAATAAAGAACTCAGAGGGGAAGGCTGAGGGATGAGAACATGCATCTTATAGTGTGTTATGATGATTTACTTAGCTGTCATGTCCATTCATCTATCAGACTTCAGTTTCAGCATAGAGCAGATTCCTACAGAATGCAACATTGCTTCTTTAATTAACAAATCAACCTAGGAATGTAAATTAACCAACTTCTACTTGGTGTATAATTTGTCATGCTCCAAAAAAGAAAACAAAACTGCACAGTCAAACCTTTTATGTTTTTGGTTTTTACATTCATATAAAAATATTTGCTAGTGCGTTAAGGTGGACAGTTTGGGAAATGCAAGTCTATCAGAAAAGCGATTACTTTATGGCTTCAGTAATTCCGAGGAAAAAGACACAGGAGCTGATGTGAAATGACAGTAAGCACCATTATTTAATTCTGTCACTCTCTAGGGAGAAAATGAGAGTTCATTGTTTGGTTGTTATTTGGGTTGGTTTTTTTTCCAGAATCTGAAACGGACAAATAGTTGATGAGATATTTGAGGAAGAAAACAAAATGCAGGGAAGTCTAATGAACAAAACCCAACAACCCAACCCAACTCATGCTTCCCTAACATACAAGTGAGAAACAACTATCTCACTTGGGAAAACACTAAATCACTATGGTCACACTCTGGTAAAGAATGGACAGAAACTCTGTTGCCTGAAATTAAAATTCAAATTAATTAAAAAAAACACAATCTACAGCACATACAGTAACAGAAATGCAACATTTCAGAGTAAAGAGGTACCCACAAGCATATTGAGTCCCTTTTTATAAAAACTAACAGTGTTAAAATTATGTGTAAATAGATGCCATTTTTTTCTCAACTGACACATTATCTGTCCAAGTACTACCTATATTGTCTTTTGTTACACAAAAGCATAGTCAACCCCTATTAGTCTATTGCAATTTAGTAATTCTTAGTTAAATGAATGTTCTCCCGTATGATCAATAGCCTCAATGTGGCAGCAAGAAGTTAAACCCATTTCCAGATCAGATCAGTAAGCTTAGCCTCACAATATAAAATGCTAGTCTCCTTTATTATTAAAGAAACATGTATTCATATCAGCTTGCCAGGTGGTGTTATTCCAGCATATTTATTTAATAGCGTGCTAAAAATAGTCAGTGCAACATTAGTATTGTCTGGCTTCTAACAGGCAGCCAGCTCAGCTGAGGTGCGCATGGCCTTGGAAAAAGTATATCTGTACCTTTAATTTTTCATCAGCTCTAATACAAATTCAAGAGCAGGCTTTAATTGGTCAGGTCATAAAGGGATATAATTAGACACTAGTGGAAGAGGGAAGCTGGAGGAAAGAGAGAGAGTAAACAATGCTATCTATAATCAAGGGCATCATTGAAAATTCAGTAAAGGGAATTCTGCTTAGTTTGGCTTCCTGCATTCTGCATGCCTGTCTGCGATAAGAGCTGTCTGGGAGTTATTCATCCACTAATAAATCTTCCTTATAGACCCGTAACTCTGCTAGAATAAAATCATAGTTTCATGCACTCTCAGTTTGATCAGTGCAAATCATTCTACACTTTCTAATGCAAAAGAGACTTTTCACTTGAGAGGCAGTTGTCTGAAACCTAAAGATATCTACAATAGATAGTAAATAACATTTTGTACAACTTCTCCTTCTTACTGTACTGTTCTTACCCCCTTAACAAGATACATTCATTCATTTTCTGAAGTGGGGGGTGTTGGGGGAATATATATATATTTTTTTTACTTTGGCATATGGTGCAGATTTTGAAGAACAAATTGCTTCTTGTGTTGTTTTGCTGTTTGTAGAAAGGTTATATAGATATATTGGTCCAACAGTCTTTGAATTATGACATGACTAAAGCTGAAGCAATTAAGGGGAAGTAGGAGAGGGACAGTGAGATTCTTTGTAGTTAGGCTGATTGAAATGTAGGTTCCTGCTCCTTAAAAATTCCTTTTGTGCAATTTTCTTTAAAAACATGCAAAATGCAGACAGAAGTATAGTGATGCTAGGTGTGTTTGGCTTCTGACAAGCACTGAAAAATCTATATCTAAAAATACTATAAAACCTTTCAATTTTCAACACGTTTTGGTAGTGGTAGCTATGTGAAGGGCTTTGGGATTTGAGTAACATTTTTGTGTAAATAAGGAAGTTTTCAGGGAAGCAGATGCTTATCTTCAAAAGAGGCTTAGCTGATATCTCAGTGTTGTACTTCCAGAAATTACAGAAAATCAAATTTCCATTAAACTACATTCTTTTTCAGTCAGATTGTTTAAATCCAGAGTTATTGCAAGTGCTAGGAAGGAAACTACATTAAATGAAAGATTATAAGCTCCCAGCTAGGATAAAAACCGGTCCAAGTCATGTTCTTCTTTGATGTTTATAGCCATTCTAAAACAAAACAAAAAAAACCCCACAATGCAATTTTGTGTGTGGTCACTATTGTAATTTTTACATAAACTCACTATCTTAGTCTACAAAGGCAGCATTGAAGCTGCCACAAGAAATGGCACAAGGCAGTGGGTGGCAAAGGAACCCAGGCTTGATCAGAGGCAGAAGCCCCAGCGCTTCGGTCAGCTGCTTGCAAAGCCATTCTTCACTGTGGGCAGAAAGGCCAGGATTTGACCCTTTGATTTTATCATGATGGGTTGGTTAACCAAAACATTTAACTGCTAGCAACAAGCTACAATCTGATTATTATCCTGTACAGGCATACAGAAAAAGAGAGAGTGAAATCTTGTCCTCAATAAACACATGCAATTTCTGTTTAGTTCAATGAGAGTTGTGCATGCTTCAGTGAAGGCACAATTGCCTGAATAAGACTAGCTAAATTGACCAGACTTTCAAGATAATTTAATTACATCTCTTTGTATTTAAGAATATGTACAGTAAACACCATGCTCTAATAGCAACCCTTTTCCTCCCTCCCAATAAAATCTTTAATTTGATCTCAGAGGTGGACTAGATAGAACATCTTTGGGTCAAATACAAATTAATGTATGTTAAGTGCTTCAGAGATTCCAGATGTTGTTAAAAAAAAAACAGTCAAAATCCTTCAGTCTTCATGCACAGTCATAAAAAAGAACTCTGTTTAAAAGATTTCATGATTTATTCTACACTTTATATTTGGTCATGCAGAATGAGGAAAAAATTGAACTGAAAATTCTGAGATGTAGTACCTTAAACTTTTCCCTCGTGGTTAACTTACCTAAGTGGTGCAGTGAAAAAAAACCCAACTGCCATAAACTCAGATTTCAGAAATCTGCATATTAATTTTGGAATTGCTAAGTAAATGTCATACACTGCAGATGCAAAGGATCTTCAGGAAATGCACTTTAAGGATGTAAAATACTTTAGCTAATGGCAACATATCCAGTGCCAGACTTTTTAGTCTGCTACAACTATTGTACATTAAATGAACCACACTGAAAATGGAATTAGATCTTTGCATTAGTCTTACCATCCAGCTATAATTCACTTTCAGATTGCATCATTTTTTCCTAGCAGCACACAAAAAATCATCAGAAGTATTAATCTAATAACACTCTAGGCAATATTAAAGATCATGGGAGACTCAGGTAAATAACATACTCAGTACATCATTAGTTTGAATGTTAATATTTTGCAGTGTATCATTGTACTCTGTATGTTAACAGCTACCGCATAATAGCTTGCAGAAAAGACCTCTTCTGTTCATTCTGGAAATCTTCTATACTTGTAATATCCGCTACCTGTTAGATGAATGCTGGAGGGAATGTCACCCAGAAGGGAATATGGAGTAAATCCCAAAGAAAAGGGTATGACAGTGTTCCCATGGACAGTAACACAGTAAAGCAGAACAATATGCCAATGGACAAAATGGTGTCCTCCAGAAAAATCTTACTAAATTAAGTTGCAGAAAGTGGATCTCTTCTTCCAGAGAAAAGTTGCAACATGATTACCCTTCATTAAACCTTAGGCTCAAGACCAGCTTGGAAAGCTATGTCCACTCAACCCACAGTTTTCTTCTCTTTAAGACTGTAAATACTGTTAGGAAATGTGAACCTCTGTCTGGAAGAAACTACCACCCCATTTCATTCTCAACACTCTGCATATACCAGACAGCTCTAGGTTTCCTGTCACTGCTGACATGATGAGAATTTGTACAAATCATGTAGAATCCTACACTTTGAGGAAAGTGCAAGATTCCATAGCCTCCTAAACAACAGAAATGTCATCATTTCACATGAAGATTTCGCAATCTGCAGTATCACCTTTTTTAAAATCTATGTGTTTTGAAGTTGAAAGAGAGGAATTGTGCTATGCTTTGAACACAGGTTCGAACCTCCTCCTCTAGTCAATGTTGCTATTTTAAGTGAGCAAGGATAGTCCAAAACCTGCAGTTTATATGCTTCAGGGAACCCTTGGTAAAACAATGCTATGGATCACAACTGTGTGAAACTCATGTGGTCCCAAGGCTATGGTGACTATTACATCATATTGGAGTTATAAAGAGCACCCTGCAGGTATAGAGCACAAGAGGCCCAAGTAGCATTACTGGTTGCACTAGTAATCACTAGCAGATGGCAACATACAACTGCTTAGTAGAAGTACACTCAGAGATTCATTGTCAGGGCTTCCCATCCTTTGAAAGTTTTCTCTCCTTTTTCCCTTAGTCTGGTAACACACTACATGCAGCATGTAACTACACCACCTACCTCAGCCAGCAGCCCTTTACCCCACACTCCTATCCTCCAAGTGAGGTCTTTCAGATGTCAGAGAAACCAGGTCCTCATCAAGCAATGACTTGGTCCCTTTCCAGCTGGATCTGATAACATTCTTAACAGGCCAAACATCTGTTCTGAAAGGAGCCCTTGTAGGAACAGTTCCCCCTCTTTACCCTGAGCCCTTAAAAGTGCTGTTACACTTAAATACATACACAGTGTTTATATACTGCTTATGCATCAGTTGTATGCCAGGGAACAGATTGCCACAGCCACCACACAGCTGCCACCTAAACCCTGCAGCTCAGAGCCTCTTGGGCTTTCGGGTTTTGACAGTCTGAATCCACACGTCTCACTCACTGCTTGTGCTCTTGTACAACCCTCCTTTCAGCATCCCAGTGCTGCCGAGGTGCTGGGAGCACCCTCTCACGTGCAAGCTCCGGGGAGTGTCTCTCGCCTGACACTGGCCAGGTTGTTTCACAGGCAGCACCTAATCCATAACAACGTATGCAGGACATGCCAGGTCACTGAGTCCAATACCCTCTAACGCTCACAGTCACATCATATACACTATTTCATAAAATGACCAACCTTCATCTGAAAGCTGCTTAGATTGCTTGATCCCATTATCCCGTTTATTGAAAGGTTATTTTAGAGTCTCATTCCTCTGATGGCTTGAATCTGTCTTCTAATTTCCAGGCTCATTTTATCTCTGTGCAGTTCATATCCATTTGGATTCAGTCTCTTCTGCTGAAGCTATTCCAGCTTGTATAAATAATTTATTATTCACTGGGCCAAAGACTCACAAAAAAAGGGAGCTTGATTTTGCAGTTTGGGTGCTCAGGATGTTCACTTGGGATGCCTGTGTCAATGAATATTTGATTATTTTTATTAAGGGCTTTGTCAGGAGACAGCTCACAGGAGAATAACCAGTCAGCCCAGTGACTAGGACATGTGATTTAGTTTAAAGCTCTACTTTAAATTTAATGTAACCAGGATTTTAAAACAGGTCTTTCATCTCCCAGTGACCACCTACACATGTGGCAATGAGGTGAAGCAGGTGTTAGGGAGTGGCAAGGGGGGAAGTCCCTAAGCTAACATTATGTTTTGACTGAAGTGCAAGTTGACAGTCAACCAACCACATCTACTGCTCTAGAAGGATCACCTCAGACGAACAGAATGAAAATAACCTCTATCCAGCCCAGAGACATGGGCTAACCTACTGCTGGGGGGGAAGAGTGCCATCTTCTACCTTTTTTGCATTAGATGCTTTAAGCACTTCCATGACCAGCATCCTGCCTTAACTCATATTCCCATGCCCGCAGCTCTCCCCAGGCACTGCAGAGGAGCAGCTGGAGTCCAACATGTGGAGTGAGGGTGCTCACTAAGTGGATAGGCACCTAAAAGACCTGGCAATAGCCAAGTCCTTATGCATTTAATCCTGTGTTTTCATGTGCAATTACACAGTGACTAGCACAGACATTACTTTTGTGCAAATAGTTACAATTTTTAAAAGGCAAAAAATAAAAAAGAAATAAGAAGAAAGAAGAAAGAAGGAATAAGAAAGAAAAAAGGAAGAAAAGAGAAAAGACAAAATAAAAAGAAAAAAAACCAAGAAAAAAGATGAAGGAAAAAATCTTTTGAGAGAATATTGTTCAGGGAAGTAGATCATATTTGGTTTGCTACAAATATTGCCTTTTAGAAAGGTTTTTTAAATGATCAGGTACAGTAACAAATAAACACTGAAGGAGAGATGATAATGGGAAGCTAATTATAAAAACTAGAAATAGATATCCTAATAGCTCTACGGTAAACATATAATTGTTTCTCATTGTAATTTTTTCATTCTTTGGTATTTAATATTTTGCATTAATTACTACTTTATTGTAATGGATTTTAGAATCTCTCATATTGAAACTGAAACTCTGCATCTAGCACAATTACAACTTCATTTTAGCCAATAACAAAATACTTCCTTTTTTCTTCTTTTGAAATCATCATCTTTCCACTCAGGAAAACAATTACAGGGGAGTTCTTACTTCAGTCTAAGGCATTTTTCTAAACTGACCATTTCATATACCTCTTGGGAGCAGGCCAGAAGCAGATGTGATATATGATGCTCAGGGCAAACCAAATCTAACACTGTGATTCAGACTTCTCCCTTAAAGTCATAGCTCCTGTGGCTTCCCCAGGTTCCACTTGCATAAAGTAATGCTATAGCTATTTGTTAATAGGTGACAGATTTTGAATGCATCTCTTAAATATCCCAGGTGCAAGCTGCAAACTGGTCTATACCTTAAACAGACAACTTAGGGTCCTGCATAGCAATCTTAGACCATGGCACATCCTAGTATATTAATAAAAAAAACAGGGATTTTAATCAGTCTACCTCATCATTTCAAACAAGCTACAATTAGAGGTGAACACCTTTATATCATCTCTCAAGAGGTCCTCCTCTGATGGCACTGAAGAGCACAGGGTACTTGACTGTAAACATGGGAAGTGTCCCTGGAGCTGTTCCTCTCCTCTCCAGTGTGAAACAGTTGCTTCATATTAGACACATACTTGATAAAATTTTCCTTTTATTGTCAGCTTGACCCATGCAAAGCTCTCATTTTATGCCCAAGCTTTTCAAACAGTTTGTAGTGTGCTTAATGAAGTTCCCTCTGGCACTGTGGACACATACAAGTGTGTCTGTAATTTCACACCACTCTTCCTCTCCTGCAGCCATCCATATTGTTGCCCACTTGATCAACATTGAGCGGTATCATGCCAGCCAGTCGAAGGAAGCTGGGGAGTTACGGAATAAACTTTCTGGCCTTGGCAAGAGCCCAAATGAAAGCTACTTGAACCCAATCAGAACCTATGAAACGGTAAGATGTCACTTTTTGGTTTTCCTCACGTAAAAAGTTTTCCTGTGTGTATTCCATTGTCGGTAAAACTGTATTTCAAAGCCTTTTAACCAGAGCGAGAAGGTGCTGCTAAAGGTTAACCTCAATTTCGGCTGAAAACACTTACTCAGAGCTGCAATTTTCAGGTTACTAAGCTCAAAGAAATGTCTACAGTATTTTAATTGGTTTGTCAGGAGACAGCTTAGATGGGGATAAGGAGTATTGTGAATAGTAGACAATGAAATGAACCTGCAAAGAATTTTTAAAAACTAAACTAAACTATCAATATATGGAACAAACACAACGTCATTCTATAAAGAATAAAAAACCAGTATCACATACCAACTTTTATTTCACAGTTGCTATTTGCCTCTCCCCATGGTTGCACAGGATCTTCCCAATCTGGGGGTTGATTCTGCCCCATTCCATGTCGAGTGTGGCTGCCCAGGGAAGAGCAAGGGCAAAACCACCCGGAGGATTGCTGCGTACATGAGGCAGTGTACCGGGAAGCTAGTGCTGCTGTGTGCTCTTCACAGACAAGCAGGACTATGCCCACCTCAGCCCTGCAAATAAATGGTTCTGTTTGCTTGGGGGAAGAAAAGTGATTGTATCTTCTGTCCACTTCCTTGGCTATCTCAAAACAGCATGGGTAGAGAAGTTATTCTTTATAATACTCATAAAGAAAAACAGATCCTTTCTGCAATGTGTGCACATAAAACATGCAAAAATTAATCCACTTTTTCCCTTATTCCATCACACTATACATCACATGGTTGTTATTTGTTTGCTTATGTATACTGTTGTATAGTCTTTTATACTCCAGGATTGAAATGGCCCTGGTAAGACTCCCACACATAGAGTTTCTGCCCTTTAGAAAGTTCCCACTCAGCCAGCATGCAATAAAGGCTGCATGTACATGGTGTGGGGCTCTTTCAGTCAGTGATGTGCTCCACTGAAACAAGAAACAAAGTGAGAAAATGGCTGGACAACTATCATCAGGATTTGACAGTACAAAAGTTAAAAGGCATTTTGTCCTGTTTTTTTCTCAGTTCTTTCCCAGTTTAGATAATGTGATTTCTTCTTTCAAAACAAAGAAGCAAACAATTCTCAAGTTTGAATAACATGAAACAAATGAATGGTCTCAATGGTGTGAACAGAATGTTAGCGGTCACAGAGTGGTTAGGTTTATCAGAACAAGGAGAGCAAGCGCATGGACTAAGCTGCCCAATATTTCTGTACACCTGGCGTCCACTCTCACCGCACGCACATGAGATGTTCCTCAAGAACAGAACAGAGCTCACAGTTCTGAATGTGAACCTAGCACCTTTCAGCATGTATTTTTTTTCTCCACTAAGCCTTCCCATGGTGATACAATTGTGAGATAGGCCTCTAATTAACATTAAGATCCTAAATACCTAAATACCCTTGAGGAGGAAGGCTAGCATTTTCTGAGATCCTTTCCCAGATTTCTCACAGTAGTATGCCCCACAATTACTAGCCTAGATTTTATTCTAGCCTCTAATATTTATATTTCTTTTATTACCCATTTGTGTCTCAGTAGTTACACTCAGAATTAATAAATTATGAAGGAAAGCAAATAAAAGATTGCTTCTAACTTCAGAGAAGAAAGTTCTCAGAGCAACAGTTCAGGCTTTCTTTTCAGTTTCATCCTACCCCTGTAGTAACAATGCACTAAGTGTCTTTGACATTTTTCCTTGTTTCATCTCAACATTCAAACTAGCCACTGTAGAGGAAACGTTCCAAATATCACCTAGGTCAATCCTGTTAATATGTAATAGGATCTGAACACACTCTTCACAGGCACCAATTTGAAAATGTACTGTGTGCTGTCAAGTGTGAACATTTGAAAGAATGATTTCACTGTAAAAACTGACTGTAAAGATGGCATGGAGGAATTTTATAACCTCTAGGATTTCCATATCAAATGAGTGGACTTTACAAGTACAATAAATGGGGTATTTTTCTCCTAGCATTTTTTTTCTCCTGCAGAACCAACTCAGGATCCAGAAGGCATGCTGAGCTCCTTCATTCCTGTGCATCAGCACCAGGAAAACAGATATATATGCTTTGCAGGCCAAATGAGGATTTCATTTACACTCTGCTGGCATATTTAGCTTGAGTCTCGTCTTGTGTGTGAGATTTTTACTGCTGTTCTTCACAATTTGCACTTTATAACTGAGATCAGCATCTAACTGTTGTGTTCAAAATACATCTTAATTCCCACTTCAGTTTATTTTGGTGGGTTTAGACAGATGTAACAGACCTGTGCTGATGTCTGTGAGTTATGAACGAGAAGGAACATCTTCTAGCCCAGCATATTAGTGTTTGATCACTGACAAGCATAAAAATGTAAGTGTAATTATGTCTTTTAAAAAAATAAATCCAAGTATTATCCATTGTATCTTCAGGTAAATGTAAGGAACAGCTAAATGTGATATGCTGTTTAGGTAAATGAGAGCATGCCATTTCTGTATACCATTTCAGGGCTACTAAAACCCCACAAACTCTGAAATAAAATAAGCACAAGAGAGCACCACACCTTTACGGCTGCAGGTGTCTTAGCAGCTCACTTTATCACCCTCTCATGAATAAGCCGGCTTCTAGTGCTGTTTTGCTTATTACATCTCTAGGTTTAATCTTCTCACTTCTCTAAACACTTTCCCTTTTTTCTGAGACACTTTTACATAAGCAAAATAGATAAAAGTACTAATGAGACTGTCTAATTTCCTCCTTTCAATTCCTGAAACAAGTGAGTGGCAGCAAACATTTACACATCTGTCTGGGATAAGCCTGAGTAGAACTAGAGCAGAGGGATGTTTTTCCACGCTCTTCTGTGCTAAAATGGAGGTTTGCCTTACCTCCATGTCTTGTTCTGGTTTTGTTCCTATGCTGAAAATATATCTTAGATTTTGGCTTCATATGCAATAGCAGCAACAGTAACAATTGTAACAGTAACAGAAGCAGTAATAAAAATAACAATTATAACAACAATAACTACTAATACTAATAATGTATTCTTATTCTAGAACACAACAGGAGAGGTACTAACCACCACAGCTGGAATAACTGGAGTTGTCGTAACTGTGGCTCTAATTCTGATCATGACTTCATCCACTGAGCTCATCAGAAGGTCGTGCTACGAGGTGTTCTGGTATACCCACCACCTCTTTGTGGTTTTCTTCATTGGTTTAATAATCCATGGTATGGGGTAAGTGTCTGCATAAACTACATAGGGTATATGTACACAGTTTAAGATTAAACATGATTCAAATCTATAATCCTGTATTATTCTATTAACAAATGCTGGGATCTTTGCTTGGAGATAGATTGCAAAATGAGAGTATTTTGAAACTAAAACACACCACTTTTCTGAGGACTAAAAAGTGTGTTTTAGTTCTTTTAACCACTCCTCTACCATCTTACAACCTGCATTTTATCAATCCATCAGTCCAAATAAATTTTCATCCCTGGGAACTGGGGGCATTTCAGGTCAGGAATCAAACCTTTGTGGGTTCAAATTAATAAAGGATAGACCTTATGCTTATAGCTCTTATAAGGCATATTGCAAGAGAGCTTGTAGAAGCTTGACAAGCTTTCAGCATGTCAGCTACCCTATGGTGGATGGCCCTGTGCCTATTCTCCTCTGCATCCACAAATGTAAAGTGGTTTTGACCTTCTTTCTCTGTGGGGAAAAGAACCACAAATTTCCTCATCATAGAGAAATCCTGTGCAGTAGCAGTAAGCACTATATTACAAACCAGGTTTAAGTGACTACAGTAACAAACAACTCAAGTTTATGACTAGCCTGGTCAGGTGGCTTTTACGGAGGGGGATGGCTGCCAGGTTGCTGATTGTCTCCCTGTTCCTCGGCACAAGAGGAAGGTCCATCCTCTTGGTACAGAGCTCCGGTTCTCACACTGGGGGACAGTAGAGTTGGGGGAGCCTCTCTGAGAAGCTCAGGGGCTGATAAATCCCCTATCGATGCAGAATGAGAGCATAGAAGGTGCCTAGTGATGAAAACATTTCCCTCTTCCGTTCCCAGCTCCATTGACATCTTCTGCTTCTTCTCCCTCATGTGCTTTCCCCCACTTCCTTTTCTCATTTCTTTGCAATAGTGTCAATGTGAATCTACAGTGGTGCATCAACATTCATATTTTAATTCAGACAGGGAGTGCAGTTTTGAGGTAAATCTCATGGTTCTCCTCCCCTCCTGGGTTTAGCTCATACCACGGCACCATCCCTGGACTGCATAACACACAGTTTTGGGATGAAACTGCACAGACAGGAATGCAACTCTGTGTGCCGAGCACTAACAAGTGATCCATTCACAGCCCCAAACCAGGCCTAGTCCGAAGCCCTAGACGGCCCGCAAACGTGTTCAGTGCAAGGCCTCCAACAAAGACTGCTTTGCTGAGTAGATCTCTTCCTGCTGACTATCTAGCCAACACATGGCCTCAAGCTGTAGTAAAGCTTTTCAGATCTAAGGACAGAGTCACCTGGTGCTATCATAGCACACTTTTCATGTCTGTTTCGTAAAACATTTGGATGATATTGCCCACCACTACCGTACGTACAGACTGCTACTCTTCGACACAGAGGCGCTTGCCAGCCCGCAGCGGTGTGTGCGTGTGCCTGTTCTCCGGAGGTACACGGTGTCACCGTGGGGCAGGGAACAGGCCAGTACCATGTTTTGTGGTGTGTCATTTTTCTCACCTCTTTCCTTGTGATTTGAGAGCTGCCACATTCATTCTGGCTTTGAGTGTGCCTGAAATTGGCCCAATTAATTAGTCCCAAGTTTCAGAGGCACAGCTGCAAACAAATGCTGCAAACTGTTTCCTGGCCTGATTAACATGGCCCCCTTCCCCTCTCTCTCTGGCAAATATTTAGAATCCAATTTCAAACAATTGTAATGAACCCTTTAAACCTTCAACTTTGTAAGCTCCCTCTGCCTCTCCAGCTGATCAACACGCCTCAGCAAGAGACTTCCCCAAAAAGGGGACCCTTACTTAACCGCCCTGTCTACAGAGTTCTGCGAGCACGCTGCTTGCTCCAGGCTGGGAACTCCCTGCTGCCCCTGCACATCCACACCACTACCCCATTGATGAAAAGGAGACAAAACACAAAGTTTCATTCACCTTTCACCTCTTTCTCCTTCCCAGGTGACTGCACAAAACTCACTGAAGCCTACCTCCATTTCTGTCTGAACTGGTGGCAGTTGATGACACTGCCACGTAGAAGAAGGCAGCACTTCTTATCTTCTTGTCTCTTGTTAGACTAGTGGACAGGACAGGCTAACACTGTAGAGCCAAAGTATGGAAGGGAAAATTCAGAGAAACAATATGAAACAAACAAGGTTTCCCCATAAAAGTCTTCCTTCTCCACCCATAATCAACACCAGCTGAAACCTATTTAAACTGAACAGTCAGGATTGATATGTTTGGGAAAATTCACATCATTAACATTCTCTGAAGTAGAAGCTAGAATTTAATATGTTTAGAGAGTACACATCTAATTATGGTCCTCCAACTTTATTTGCAGCTTTAAAAAAAGCATTTAGAAAGCAGCAAAGGAAAGAGAAGGTCTGTCACTATTACATTTTATTATTTTTCTAAACAATACCAGATGCTTACATACAGAGGAGGTTGACCTTTGAAGTGTCTGCTCCAAAGAACTTGGAAATCATTCTAATTTTGCCACAAACAGCAAAATGTACATTTTCTGTGCAAGGACTCCACTTTTTCACTGCATTGACATATACCAATAAAACAACACACTTCTTGCATTTGGTCAAAAAGTCATGGCAAAGCTAAAGGAAAGATAATTTGAACAAGAGAGCTGAAGAGGGTTGAAATGGCCAGTTCTTGAACTTTCAGTTATCTCTGAATCTGCATTCAACTACTAGTGCAAAACCTACAGACGCACAGAAACCTTGCAAAGAAGCATATCACTGATAAACATTTTTGTTTTAAGTCAGTTTGTCCGAGGTCAGACACCTCAGAGTCTGCTGCTTCACAATGTCACTTACTGTAAAGATCACTACCTGGAATGGGAGAACGCCACTCAGTGCCCTTTGCCTCGGTTTTCCGGCAACAAACCTGTGGTAAGAGTGATGTTTGTCTTCTGTTTTTAACTCAACTTCTTTCCCTGGGAGGCCAAATGTCTTGGGAAGCAGGAGGACGGAGTGTATGCTAGTGACTGGCACTTAGTGTCATGTTTAGAGAGTAGTTTCACATTTCTGTTCCATGACCTCTCCCTGTGCATTAATATAGTGATCCTGACCTCCTATATAATCAGTATAGACACATACAGATGAAGAGTGATGTACAAAATTTTGGTGTCATTAATAAGAATTTTTATTTCTGGAAGATCCTTTAGTTAGGCAGCACTGCCTTTGAAGGGCATGGGTTTCAGAACTCTATTTAAATCTGTTGTGTACACATATTTTTAATTATTCAGTATCACCAGTATCCTTGATGTGTTCATTGCACAAACATAGTCTCCAAGTGAAAACCTTATGAAGGCAGAGATACAGAAAATACAATGGAACAGTAAAGCTAGGGATGCAAATTAATATTATCATTTTAACGAACTACTTGAATAGAGACAGTCTAAATGCCAAGGGAGAGTAAGTTGGAGATAAAATTATGTCCTTGCTTTGAGGCACATACTTCATATTGTCCAGCCTTGATGTCTTAAGATTGGTAAAAAGGAGAGAATTTGAAACAATGAATTATGAAAGGGAAAGGCAAAAGGCAGGAAAAATGTCCCACGGAAGGGTGGTTTTGCTGCAACAAGATTGCAAATCCACAGGGGGTAATTAAGTAGCAGACTTGTACAGTATGTCAGATGTCTACCATCCAAACAAAATCATTTAACATTTACAGCTCAAGATTTATCTTGCTCATATGCAAGTTTTTGTTGTTTCTTCCAAAAAAATAAAACATACCAAAGGAAATCTTGAAGTAAAGGAGAAAAATTAGCATTCAGTGTCTTGTAGCTCTTCTAATGGCTGACATAGATTTTTCTTAAACTAAACTATTGTTAGCCACTATCCAGCCTGCATATTAATGAGAAAATGAATGCCTCTCTAAAAATTTCAGCTACAATGTTGCCATAAAAATCAATACATGGCTACGCACCATGAATACAGACACAACCTTGCTTCGAACAGCATGTCTTGACATTCATTATCATAAAGCTAATTGAAGAGAACTTCCACTTCTCCATGTTAAACCTATTTTGTCACACTTTCCTGCATACCCAAGGCCACACTTGCAAAGTCACACTACTTTAAATGAATTGTGATAATACCATATGGCATATAGATCATCTATAAGAACAGTGCTTTGCTGGATGGGTAATGTGCTGTGGTGTGATACCTGCTAGACACTGCAGTTAGTGCAAATTCATTCAGAGGCTAAACAGCTGTGGCAAGGCTTGCATGGCACTGGCAGGGGTAGATGCGGATGTGACTGAGCAGGGAGGGGACAGCCTTCTGCGCTGCTGGGATTGCATGAGGTGACACTGGAGCACATGCCCTGCTAGCCATGGCTCCTGGGGGAGGCTACAGTGGCGGAGCCCCTCTCTCAGTCATGCCACACCTGCTCCTCTGCTCCATATTTCAGAACGAAGGAGCCTGATCTGGCTCCCATGGAGGATGATGAAGCACTTCTGTTGCACCTGGTACATTCGGACTTTTATCCTCACAGCCTCTCCTGAGCCATCACTGCCCCATCTCAGTTCATTCTCATTACAGGGGGAAACACCACTTGGGCAAGAATACTGATGCCCTGATTAGCTGGCCAGGAGCCGTGTTGCCTAGCAGCCCATCCCTCCTGGTGGATGCCCTGTTGTCTCAACCCAGTCAAAAGATATTTTGGATTGAATGCTCCATTGCAGAGGAGTGATGGCATGCTCAAAATCTCAGCTGAGCTCTTGCAGAGGGTAGCCTGCAGCCTTAACATTCCTGTCACGTGCTTTTATTTACAGGTAGCACAAATGGAAGGGAGGAAAAACCCAGGTCTCATCATTATTGCAGCTTGATATATGCAAATATATTCAAGACGTGAGATTACCCACTGTGCAGAGACACCTGTAGCATTTGGGGACAATGGATGTGTTGAGTTTTTGCTTTAACTGAGAATCTTCTGGCTTCTGCTGGTTTTTTCCCATTATTAAATCATGCGTTTTTAAAATTTAATTTTCAAGAGTTAACCTTGGGAAATTGCCACTCCATCCTCTTAGCACTTTCTAAGGAAGCCACATAATTTTATGGCTTGCTTCTCATAAAAGATACTTTATAACCCCTGTTACCCAGCTTGTGGAGCAAAATCAATGTTTCAGCAAGTTACTCTTTGGAGATTTTAAAAGCCACATGAATACGGAGTCCTCAGTTTGCTAGAATGAGCTGTGTAATTAACAAAACTGGAAATAAAACTGTATGTCCTATGGAAAAACAAAGACTTTTTTTCTCATCATGAAGATTCAATTACATCTAATTTTCTCAGCTATCAGTGCAACTCAGTGAAATCATCAGCTAGTCTACTTGAATAGCCAAGTATCTTTGATTTTTGTAGTGATCAGTACATACGGTTAGCAAGTACAAGCACAGCAATCATCGGCGATACTTAAAGTATGACCAGCTTAGTATCCTAGATCACAAAAACACTTTTATTGATACCGAGCCAACTAATGGATTCAATGGAAATATATCCCACTCCTCTAATTTAATATTTGGGACTTAATGTTTTCTCATGCAGCACCAGAAAACTCACAGCTAACTGTAAGAGCTACTCCTATCTAACCCTTCTGAAATATTTTAGATTTGGAATAGTAAAAAAATAGTAAGGCTATGGGTAAAATCATATAAATGTATGTATCTATAAGCCTTCAGGTCCAATGACGTCTATATGTAACACCTAAATAGATTAATCCTTTTGCCTTTTAGTAGGAAAAGATTTTAAAGGACTCTTCTTGGCCAGAATACAGATAGATAATAGCACTGCTTTTGGAGTGCGTCTGTAAAGGAGTCCCATATGTCTGTTCCACAGGAAAGCCAGAACTGCTAGAGTACCAACAGAAATACTCTCTTGAGAAAGGCAAACCAAAATCACAGAAAAGAAAACAAATAATTTCGTTTTAGTCTACCTGCTGATTTAAACCAGAAATGAAAAATATTTTTCAAGAAATTAAAATAAATGTTTTTTAATATGGAACTTTCTACAGGCTTGGAAGTGGGTTATAAGTCCTATGGTGCTGTATATCTGTGAAAGAATCGTTAGATTTTGGAGATTTCGACAGGAGGTGGTCATAACCAAGGTATGTAACATAGCTTGTATGTCTGCATAAAAAAATGTTATGTCAATGACTTTTTTTATCTTTTATAGATAACTCCTTTATATTATTATCTCATTTTTCACTCCTAGCTTCAGCAGCTCTTCCATCATTACCACGGTCTCAGCCAAGCATTGATTTTAGGTTTTGCATTTATTCCAGTATAAGTCCATAAGAATATTCTGTATGGGACTAAACTTGATTGATGAAGTACCAGACTTACAAGGCTACACCATCATAACACAAACCTCTGTGCAGAGGGTCTCTCTTTTTACTGAACTGAAAACCACATTCCCCTGCAGTAAAGGGCAGTGATGTGTCTTTGCAGGACCTCTACTTCAGTAGGACATGGTTTTTACTCTCAAATCTGGAGGCTTCCATGGAGATTAATGGTTATATTATCAGTTAGCATAAATAGTCGAACCTTCATTAATATCACTATAACAATTTCTCCCAGTTGTAAATATCTCTGTGTGCTAAGGGTCTATTTAAGTCACAGCCGAGTGGATGGGGAACGCCATGACTGAAGCAGCCGAGCCTATGCGTAACAAGCCAGCGATCAGAAACATGCTCATCTTGTGTGAGGGGAAAAGCATGTCGGATAAGTCTTGCTGCTGATTTCACAGACTGGCTGTGATCTGAGAATCTCAGTATACTATGTGTGACATAAAAAACTCGCTGCTTAACTGAGATTACCTCTTAATAAAAGTACATTAGAATCGAGCTCACTGGGTTTGATTCTTCTTGCTAAATCAACAATAATGCCATACAAGTTAATTGTGTTACATGATAGTAAAACTGGAAAATAATTCCAGCCTATTTTACATAGGCTCTACTAAGATAGAAAGTTGACAAAGTGTTGAATTGTCAAGGCCTTTCCTCTGCCTCTTAAACTCACAAAAGAAGCTGCCACTCACTGTACGTGCTCTCAAGCTACTGGGCAGCAATAGCACTGCAACGTACAGTTAAGGTCAGAATCTACAAGACATTTAAAAATCACTGTGCATTCCAATTTACATTAACTTGTTAAAGTAGAAAAGATCGCAAAGTCCCTGGTAACTTAATGGAAACAGTCACTCTTCTGAAGGAAAACAAAACAGGCCCTTTTTTTATTGTTTAGGTGGTGACACATTCCTCTGGAGTGCTTGAGCTTCACATGAAGAAATGTGGCTTTAAAATGGGACCTGGTCAATACATCTTTTTACAGTGCCCATCTGTCTCACAGCTGGAGTGGCACCCTTTCACCCTCACCTCAGCTCCCGAGGAGGACTTCTTCAGTGTTCACATACGGGTCGTCGGGGATTGGACTGCAGCCCTCTTCAAGGCCTTCGGAGCAGAGGAAAAAGCTTTCAAGGAATTGTGGACATTACCAAGGTTTGAATAACAAACAAAACATTTTGAAATGTTAATTCCACATTTTAAAATAAATGTTAACGCTTTAACTTTAGTTAATTTTGTGTGTGTTCTTTATGATGCACTAGATTATAGTTCTGCATTAGATTGTAGTTCTGGATCCATAAATATGCCATTACGCCAAAAAACACACAAATAAACACAGTCATGAACTCAGGCCAACAGCTACCAAGATGATGTGATGACTAATCCAAGATTTAAAGTCCAAATCAATATCTATAGCTCTGTCACTATCATCTAAATCTCTAACATCTACGTCTACACCTAAAGATATCCATTTTGACAGACAGGTGCTTACGGATTGAATTAAAACAACACTGGAAGCTATCTGCTAGCTTTGTGCCTGTATGCTCATGCTCTGATGGCACCCATCACCTGCCATCCAAACTTCCAGCTTTTCCCTTTCAGTTACTTAGATATTTTGTGGCCCCAGTAACTTCTGCCTGAACCTTACTTCTTTCCAGCAGTCTCCTTCAACTCTGCCTCTGGTGACCAAACCCTGCTCCACTTTATAAAGATTATGGGCATTCAAATTCTATATGTGCAGCATCTTCATCCAAGCAAAAGGTTGATCCTGCATTGTTGCAAGTCAGCAGAGCTCCGCTGAAGTTAATGGGGCCACTCTAACTTTCACCAGCTAAGCATCTTTCTCTACATGTAATGCACTTAAACCACATAGCTCCTTGTAGGTATAGTGGAGATTTTCAGCAAATAGAAGAGCCCTGCACAGGATCATTTCGATTCTGGTGGAGTGTGTTGGGCCTGGGACTGAAGCGACAATTTTCCCCCTGGAAAATTGCTTTTGATGAGGAAGTCCTGGTAAAACTGAAGAGCAAAGGCACTTGTTTATCTACTTTTATATACTTCAATGGAACTTTGATGCCAAAAAAACATTCCCCTAAAAAGCTTATAGACACCACAGAGCTACAGAGGCATACTAGAAGGCGGGGGCAGAAAAGAAAGTCTGGTCTAGTATTTGCATTATATCAGTTAATAAGAATTAGAAATGAAAGCTGTGCCTTTGTCAAAGGCAAGTGGAATGAGAAGTATGTCGTTTCAGCAGAACTGGAGCAAAAATTGTCCAAAGTGATTGACAGTCAGTGTAAAGAATGAGAAAGAGAAAAAACGTTATCAAACGTTGCTGGCCACAATGCAGGCCTGAAATCAACACCACTGTCATAAAGACTCTTCTTTTTAATCTTGTTAGTGTGCCTAATGTCATCATTCAGTTGCTTTCTTGCAATATATTAAAAAACTATTTCAATAGTTAAGCCATCAATAAAGCAGAAAAACAAGTCTTTTTCACAGGTTTCAGAACCTAAAGATAAACACCAAATTGGTGACTATATTAAAAAATAACATATAGCAGAAACTGAGCAGAAGACAGAAACCATGTAGAAACTGCATGATAAGGTAAGGTTCTAAAAATAAAATATGTATATTGTAATCAATAAAGGAAGACTAAAATAAAATATATGAACCCTTATACAGGTAGAAAAGACAGTTGTGATTGGTGGTCAATTTGAGAGATAAGACCATGGAATAGACTATTCCTGTGAAAATAATCAAGCTCCATAGTATACCTCTTTGGGGTTTTGGCTCACTTAATTGCTGTTTCAGTACGTTATCCCAAAATCTAACTTCTCTTACAGTCAGGAGTACGACATAATCATGCTGATCAGCAAATGTTTAAATTCTAAAAATAATATAAGAACCTGCTAATGTTACCTTTCCAAAACTAAATACTTCCCCTCCCTTCCCCAAAAGTATAATGCTTCCTTCTAATGAAATTATGTAGTAGGACACAAAGAGTCTGGGCAATCCAAGCCATAGCTAGAAACAGTCCATAGACCTATTTTCTACTCCTCCCTTGGCAAATGCAAATGTAATATTTTTTATCACCTTGTTTACTAAGTTCCCAGCTTCCTCCACTCTCCCTAGATCAAATGAATGGATTGTGTAGCTCAGTTTCTGTTTCTTCACTTTCTCCTCCCTACTTCTCTGAGTCTTTTTATTCAGCGAAGCTCTCTTGCTATGTCTGAGAAGGCATTCAAACCAATGATGGGATCTCTGTCACCTGAAGATTTAGGAGCAGTCTGACAAGACAAATCACGTAAGAAATGATTCAGAAATAATTGATCCTGTCTCGTAGCACAGAGACAGATTAAAGAATCTCTTGAAACTCCTTCCATATCGATTTTTTATCAATCTGCTAACAATAATGAGAATTGCTCCCAATCCCACATCGAACTAAGCAGAAAGCTTACCTGAAAGCACTGCTTAGGTACTTTACATACATTCCCTGAATTAACCATATTTTACATGAGGTTTTGAGTGCTCAAAAAGTACAGAGCTGGGTAATAATTGGAATAACAATATATATTTTTAAAAAGCTTATTTTTTTATATCTGAGGTCAGATTTTCAAAATGTATCCCTGAGTAGCTGTTTCATTTGCTACTGCACTTGCAGAGTACTTGGAATATTAAAATAAAAATGAACCATGTGACAAGTACAAATGAAGGGAAAAATGTTTGCTAGGACTTCAGGCTTTAAGAAAGCAACAGGATTTCAGATACATTGTGTCTCTATATTTGTGTGTTCCATTGCATGGTGATCCTCCTTTCTTTTCCTGCTAAAACATTTCATTCTTCCTATGTCTGTATATTTGTTTGTAGTATTTAAGCTGAATTTTAAAGATGATTCGTGCAATAAAGGGCATAATACAACAGAAAATGTGAAACTGGAAAAAAAAAAGTAATTTTTCCTAAAGACTCATGTTAGATAATGAAACCATCTTCCAGAGCACTTATATTATTTAAAGACAGACTGGACAGAGCATCGCAAAGTACTGTGTGTATTTATGTTCTGTGTTGCTAGAAGAATGAATCTGATCATTTAATATTCTTTTAATCTCTAATTTTGACTAAAATTAATGCCTCATCATCAGCAACATTGATTATAGGAGGTAGTAACATAAAGAAGCATTTCTGCTTACAAATTCTGCCTTTATGTCAGATACTAAGCACAGTATTATTGCCAAAAATGTATTTCTGAAACGTTGGGTTTTCAAAAGGAGCTGAGAAAATAGTAGTTTTCTTGCATATGATGACCTCTTTCTTGCTTTCTCTTTTATTACTTTAACACATATAGAGAACTTTTCAAAATGATTAATATAATCTGTTCCTCTTTACTTTGATACATGCAATACAGAAAACAAAGCTCTAAACCAGGATGCTTTTCAGTAATTCATAATTAAATATGCAAATTCCAGAGCTAAATTTGGACATGCAATTATATGACTAATCACATTTCAGAAAGCCAGAAAATTGCAATTGCATGCTTAAGTAGATGGCCAGGCCCCAAACTCACATGGGTGCTCTTGTTCTCTCATTTCAGAAAAAAACAATTGCTTTGCTGTTAAATTGCACCCACTGCAAATTAAATGTGTTTGTATGGGTAATTTGTGTGCCAGCTTAGACATGTCCTTTCTCTTTTATTTTAACAGAAGTTCCACTTCACAAATATGTAGCCCAACAAATTTTAACTTTTCTGTAATTTTATATGCTGCTGACCCTTGACTAAATGTCTTGTTGCTGTAGACTGGCCGTGGATGGACCATACGGATCTGCAACCACAGATGTCTTTCACTACCAAGTGAGTGTGTGCATTGCAGCAGGAAAAAAAACCATTTGCCTCTATTTTAAAATCCATTTGGTACAAATGCTGCAACCCAAACACAGTACTGGCGCTGCAGAAGGTAGGTGGGAAAGGTTATCGCTCCATCATGAAGTTCCACAAATGAGCCTATTTTGCCAGGTTACAGAGACAATTCAGAGCTAGAGACTCACTTAAGTGCTTTAACTCCTTCTCAGAAGCAGTCACCTGCTTTGCAGCTGCCTCAGGAGCTGTTGTGGGGTAGAGTCTCTTGAATTCACTGTCAGTATCCTTAACTGCAGTGGTTTTAGTAAAAGCCGAAGAATCAGATTTTCAATAGCTGCTGGAGATAAACATGGAATGTCTTTAAACGTACACGTTCTTTCATAATGAGAGAGATAGTTAGAGAGCTACAGGAGAAATTTGTCCTCTTTCCTAAAAAAATAAATATTGCAAGGTTGTCTCAGACAGAAATGAAGGGCAGCACTTGCTCCTTGTTCAGCTGCAGGTTTCCTGAGGGCTCTCTGGCTGAGTGTCCTGATCCAGGGTGCTACATTCAGCAACCTCTAGCTGGTTTCGTCACCTTGCAAAATCAGGCTATTAGCCAGCATAGGAGAAAAAAAAAAAAAGCATTTAAGCTCTGGGTGAGTTGCATGTATCAAGGCATATTACTGCCTCAAACCACTTTAATTATTTTTCTGAAAAAATATATTGGGGTCTGTAAAGCATGGATGGCATGAGCTCGATCTGCTAACCTGTTATACAACTTCTGCTAAGGATAGGTGAGGCAGCACTGGGGGAGGACAGACAAAGAACAGATAATGGGTGAAGTAGGGTGAGGGATAAGAAGTTAACAGAAAAAAATCAGCATTAAACATTCTCTTCTCTATCCATCCTGGTGAGTGGTAGCTTGTGGATCTTACAGCTTCTTTTAACTCATTTTCCAATGTAAAAGCTGAATCAGGAACTGTTCAACATTTCACATTTAAGGACAGATGTTGAAATTGCATTGGAGCAAACAGAACTCTGAGATGGTCAGTACATATACAGCTGATTTCAGGACCAAGGGGCTGATCTCTTTAAATGGAAGAGTGTTAAAACTGGCATCTTAATGACAAGCTGCCACTGAAAAAGCATCTGGGATTTTAGTAACTGAGGAGTTGAGGACAGGTTCAAATTGCCAGCAGGGAACTTTGAGGCAGGAAAAGCACTGAGAAAGGAGGGAAATAAAAATGAAAATATGTGCTAGATGTGAAAAGAAGTGTATTTGCAAACACTACCACTGTACCAGAATGATCTTTTCCACTGGAGGGAGAGTTACATATATGTATATACAAGTTATGTATGTATATTATGTATATTCTATATGTAGAGAAGTAAAATTGTTATTATTGTCATTGTTGCTGTTATCTTCAGGGGAGAAGAACATACTTTAACTATGCATTGAGAGTATAGTATACCTCAGGGTATTCATCCATAGCTTAGGGATAATCTTGGGTAACTGCCTACAAAGGTAAGTGCATGGTATGCCTTCTGCCATGGTTTTCTGTGATAGAGTTCAGCTTTTCTGAATTTCTGTGAAATACAAAAGTACCATGATTTCTATATCTCTCTTCTCTATAAATTGGCTTCCTTATTGGTGAAGTGGGAATAGTGATGCTTATTTTTCACAGGTGTTATGAGGCTAAACTTCACTGGTGTTTGTAAAATATTTTGCAAGCCTGGATGAAAGGTGCTGAGGAAGTTCACAGTCTTATTTAAAAAATGTAGCAGTCATTTTTGTTAGAACTATTAATCTCAGGGTAGCTCCACATTTTTTTCCACTGGTTAAAAGCTTCCACTTGTGGTATAATTACAAATAATTTAATCTTCCTCAAAGTATTCAGCACTCTCTTTCTGCCATGGTAAGTACCATAGAAATGTCTATTAAGGAAATAAATAAGAGGTTTTTCTTTTTTTAACAACTTCATTTTGATTTGAGTACAGCTATCATTACACTTATTGAACTAATATTTCTTCGTGTTGCCCACATACGGCTGAGATATAAATACTCACAGCTTCCATAATGTCTGCAGCTGTATAATTTAAAAAACCCAGCAAATCAAAAGGATAAAACATTATCTAATTGATTCTTCAAAATTAAATAGCCTTAGAGCCTTCATTTCCCTATCATTTTTTGTGATGAGGAAGGGCGTTACTACCAGTCATGGCTGGGAAGTTTTTACTGGCCTTAGTTATGCATAAATGATTTTTTTTCACAGTAGTGGTCTCACTTTTCAGATCAATTGCTGCTGAAATTGATAAAATTGTAGTGATCCATCAGATGACAATATTAGCAACCATGCACTTTCTCTTTTACCCTACATAAGAACATAAGAAAGGTCCTATTGGGTCTCACCAAAGATCCATCTAGCCCAATACCTTTTCTCCAACAGTGGCTGTTCATGAATACCTAGGGAAAAGCACACAGACCAGAAAATCATACGGCAATATGTCTTTAGTGGACACCGTCTTGCCTTGAGCAACTTGCAGTAATGTCTTGATACAAGAGCTGCACCTCTGTGTTTAATATCCCTTAGTATATTTTTCTTCCACGAATTTGTCAAATTGCTTTTTGAACCCATGTAGACCTTTGACAGCCACAGTAAGTTCAGCTACATAAAGTGAGGAAAACAAAGACACCCTTTTCCATTTACTTTGAGACTGACCATCCCTGCCTGATGTAACCTTCTGGTTCAAGCTCTACCCCAGCCCACAGCCTTCTCTGCAATACATCTTCTCCCAAAAACCTAAAAACCTGGGCTCTTTTTGGTGCCAAACGTAACCCTCTTGTTGAGCTGTGTTTGAGAGCAGTTTAGGCCTCTTGCTTCAAACTTGGGGGTGTGACTTCGAGCCTTGTCCTGCATTATAGGAATGGCTGCTTGCTGCCACCCTAGCTCTAAATCAGTGCCTTGTGGAGGCTGCCAAACCCCCGTCCCCTGCATGCCCCGGGCTGCAGGCACTGCTGTGCTGCACCTGGGGTGGCTCTCTGGATCAATTAATTAGGCTGAGGAAGATCTCTAATCTTTTTTGGTATGCTACAGCCCACAGGTGGTGAGGTATACCCAGGAGCAGGAAGGACTAGGGTTGCGCAGGGAGGTGCCCAGATGCAGATGTAAGAGGGTTTTGCAGGGACTGGTCACATCTAAGAGGGAGCAGCAAGAGTCAGGGATGAAGGTGCCTGCCTGGGCACCCCCTGCTTTATAATCTTTTACACCCCCTTGGTGAAAAGCTGGCTTTGCCCAGAGCTGCAGCTCCACCTCCCTCTTCAGGGACCAGGGAGAAACAGATGGGTGGTCATCAACAGATAATTATTAATGACTTTCCACATGATGGAAACTGATTAACAAAGTATGTTCTTTCACCTTACAGGAAAGAGGTATTGGAGCACTTGCTCTTGTCTGTTGTACAAAATTCAGGATGTGGGAAACTGAATGATAAATATGCATGCATTGCAAGGGAGCAGAGTACTACAGAAATAAGCGACTACTCAAAACCCGGCATTACAGATCTGATTAATAGCAATACTGCATCTAACTCAATTTGCAAAAAGAGCACTTGGAAAATTTCAGACAGTTTACTTGGGCATGCCATCAAGCTGACAAATGTAGTTGATGGGGGCAGGGTAGGTGGAGACTAATGAAACATAAATCTAAATCAGATTTTAAGGGTCCTAAATAATTGCAGTCAGTTAATAGTATGAGGCTTACAAGAAAAAAATACAGGATTCAGAATAATTATTTAATTATAGAAATGCACTGATGCTGGCTTTATTCTACAGTTTTAATATGGATTAATTTTATTGTGCATTTATTGTATTTTAATTATACATGTAATATGTTGTGCTATGCTATGGTTAGTCAGTGTAAAGAAAGGAAGATTTCTTTGTAAACACTGTTTATTTTAACATATTATACTAGAAGTCCTCTTTGATCTGAGGGAAAAGAAGACCTTTTACCCATAGGCTATCCTTCTTCACTACCTCTTTTCTTTCTAAGATTATAATCATGGCCAAAAATACTTCATATAATGACAGTCTTTCTTCATTACCAAATGCTCTCCACATCTAACATGATAATTAGAAGCAATGCAACGGATACTGCTTTAGCAGAACTGCACCAGGGATGAGCTTAAGGCATTTATGCCGCTTCAGAAAGCTACACCCTGTCTTAAGAGGACTGTGCCAGAGGTGGCTTGACCCAGTTCGGTTAGCCAGATCTGCAACCAACTGAAAGCACTCTTTCGAACTCCATAGCCTAGTATTCTGGAAACCAGTTCCCCTTTTTCCAAGACCACATCATCTCAACTCATCGGCTGGCTTTTCTTCCTTCTTCCCTCAATGTGCTTGGCTCCTGGTTCTGCCCACATGCTCCCAGTTGCTACCCCATGCAGAATTCATTATTCATTTGGAAGCACATGCCTCTTCTCCACACAAGTGTACTAAAGATATATTTCCATAAAATGAACTGCTGAAAAGACTTGAGAAATAAGATGATCAAGTAGAGGCTGGGGGAAGAAATTTCTGACTACAAATCAACAGCCACAGTGTGATACAGACTGACAGCACTCAGTGGCCTGATTTTCAAGGCACTGAGGAGATGGAACAAGTGTGGACTTCAGGATTCAGACACAAAAATCTACATAAAGGTTAAGGCTATAAATCTTGTCCAGTTTTGGTAAATTAATATTAAAATAATAAATATTAAAATAACATTGCTGTTGGTCACAAAAATAAAATGTTATAAAGTTGGTGGCCTTGCTTTTTCCTGATAACCTATGTCAGTGTAAATCAGCAGCAACCCCTCTGTAAAGCAATAAGGTTATATTTAAGGCAAAACATTGAAACAGAAGGGGGAAAGCAAACAGCCAAGGTGGTTGGTACTAAAGTTCCACAGACAGCCCTATTCCTAGGCTGTAAAAATACCCTACTTAACCCTGAATGCTTTATCTCTGCTTCCTGGGATCATTCTTCATTTATATTTCTTACAGAAACCGCAGACAGTCCCTTACAGTACACTAAGATCTATGAAACATCTCAAATTACTGTTAGTCTCTTTTACCAAATCTCCAGTGAAGCATGGTTTTACCACATTTTTCTCCCATCAACTTACCAGAAGTTTGACAACCTAGTACATTAAATCTTCAGGAAAACTCTTTATAGCTTTCTGGTTTCTTCTCTGATTTTTCACTTCAGAAGTGTCTAAATATGCATCTTTATCTCATTGATGATATAGAAAAGGGCTACAATTTCCAAATCATCACAGCTCCCACAATGATTGCCTTGGGGACAGACCTAGATTACCTTTGATACTGAGGTATAATAAAAGACACAGGGGCTGGTGAGCACAGAGATGGGTTGGAGGAAATGAAGGGATTTTGCAAGAAAATAAAAATCAGTCACAATAAAACAAGTTCCAACCATCCCTTTGTCATAAGCTTATACATTGCTTTCCATGCTGTTCCTTTTTCACCTGAAGTTGTGTATTTTTAAACTTCCTCCATGTTTGTGAATTATTTCTTTGGAGCCACTATAAAAATAATTACACTCAAAATTACATTGCCCACAGAGGCCCATTCAAGGTCTGGTGCTCTCTGTTCAAAAGTAACAATGGATTGTGTAGCAAGAGCTACAGAACTCACGTTATAAGAACTGCAATCAGACTTGTCTTGTAATTGTGGTTCAGCCGGGCGTCAGGGTAGTGCCTGGGCAGACACCCAGGGAACTTCAGACATTCATCCCCTGGGTGGTGCGGGAACATCCTGTCCAGTCATCTACGCAGCTGGACCAGCTCAAGACAAGGACCTGACCTGAAACCAGGGGATGGGCTGTGCTCCCAACTCCCTTCACAGCACAGCATTGGTGGAGGAGGTTTCCAGGTGGGAATTTCCAACTGTCCTGAAGACTCTAAGGCAGCTCCTGCTCTGCCTAGGCCAACTGTATGTCTCAGTGTGTTGATTAAGATCCTGGGAGGAGGATCTCACCAGTCCTGAGACTCCCCAGGCAGTCCTTGCTGCAAAATTCACTAAATTGTACATGGATAAGACATTTACAAATGGTCAGAAGAAACTGTTCCTGCAGAAGGGGTCACACAGGACAGTCTTTTATACATAGTTAATTAGCTAGAAGATGCTTTGTATGTAGTTAAGACAATAGATCACAATATATATGCACATGCTGGAGTGGTCTCAATGGTCCCTGGGCTGTAAGAAATGAGCAGAAAAAGGTGCTTGGGGAGCCTCACCTGTTCCAGCTGAAGATGCCACAGCAAGGACACTTGAAATAGAAACTCTGATCATCATCATCATATGGACAGTGACTAATGATCTTGTTTGAAAGATTTTATTCCCTATGCCAGCATTACCTTATGCTGAAATCCTAATAAATTAGCTTTTTTTTTTTTTTTAAACAAACTCTCTGCTCTGTTTGTGACTGACTGCAGTAGAGGACGAATAGACAGAAATAAGCCATAGGAATGATTAAAGGATGGAAAATTAGGCGCTCAGTGACAGATCGCAGGAATGTTTGGTTTATCATAGGATTACAGGATGACTTGATCCCAGCCTCTAACTTCTATCTCGTGAACAAAAAATTAATAACAGGCTCTTCAATCCAAAAGACAACTAAAACAAGATCCAACATATGGGATGAAGCTAGAGAAATCTGGATAAGAAAAACTGTGCAAATTTTTCATAAAGTAGAGTTTTTCAACCAATAGAAAACCAATGATGGGATAGTGCTTCATTTTACCCCTTTGGCAACTTTAAGATTACAGTTTCACGTTTCTCTAGAAATTACGTGCTCCAATTCAAATACAAAATACACTAAAAAAAGAAGTAGGGCCATTCTGTAGCCTGTTTTTTCTACAGAATATCTGACTTGAAGAACATAACTGTATCTTTTGATCAAATGGCATAAGGTCTTGAGAAACAGGAATTCCTTGCTTCTGTGCTGAATGAAACCGAACTTCCATTTTAAACACTACTGAAAATAAATCCAAAATTTCAAAGAATAATCAAGTTATTTGCAACAAATGCAGAGTTACATATTATACATCTAAGTTGAGATGGGAAACTTGTACACTGCCTATCATCTTCACTAGCACATTAATACTCAGTGTTTAAGAAGAAAATTATATTTCTAAAATATAGAAACTACATCATGAAAATGATGTGTAATTATGTTTAAATTTACAGTGGAGAAGAGTCACACACTATGCAGTTAATGAATTGAGCCAATAATTAAGAAGTTCTATTGAAAGTTTACTTCTTGTTAAATCTCTTTACTTTTTTCCTGACAGGTTTATTTTTACTGGATTTGCCGAGACCCATCAGCATTTGAGTGGTTTGCTGATCTTCTGTTCCATTTGGAAACAAAAATGTCTGAAAAAGGGAAAAACGATTTTCTAAGCTACCATATATTTCTTACTGCCTGGGATGAAAGTCAGGTAATAATGAAACTCTTACGAGCCTGAGTTAATGTACCTTGCTTTTCCAGTATGGTAACATATGGAACAGGAACAGCTGAATAAATGATGGATGAAGCAGAGAGACAAAGAATTGTAAATATGAAGACACCCAAGCTGTCTGTTTCCGTCTCATATTTAGGAAAACAGGAATGGAGAAATCAAGCCAGTGATCCTTCCAGTCCTCTGTCATGGCTTGGTCAGTGCTAATTACCAGGTGCTTTGCAGAAAAATACAGAGAGCCTTTCAGGAGCTTGTGAAGGGACATTTTGTTCACAACTTCAAAACGGACTATTGTATAGAAAGTGTCAGTTGTGTTTACTCTTATTATTTAGTATAATTTTTGTTGTTCACATACATGTCCAGTACACTTTTGCTTAGAACATTTTGTCAACAAACTCTATGGACTAAGTCATGTTGTTTGGAAATATATTTTCTCCAGTTGACTTCAAATTTGCCATCTTACCATTTCATTGGATCTTCCCAACTTGAGGAACTTAATCCTTACACTGAGTCAATTTTATTCAACTTCTTTAGTCTTTCCTAGACCCAGAGGACTTGATTTTCTCTCCTCCTTATTTTTAAGGGATCACTCAGATGACACTGTGATGTTAGGCACCTGCCAGAAAAACTCTCACAGGAAAGTCTTTGCTCTACTGTTTTATTTCCTGCTGTCTCTGTGGAATGAAGGACTGTCTATTAGAGATTAAAAAAATAGATTTCATAGAATTTTTCCCTTCTTGCCTCTGCTGCCACAGAAAAAAATGTTGTTTCTTTCTGCTCTTTCTTAGGGCTTGTGTCAAGTAATGAGGTATGTGCATAAAGCTGTATTCAGGAAAATCTGCTTTCACTGTGAACTATATGGCAGTCATAGAAACCAACCACTATGCATTAGGAATATCACAGGGTATTACCTAAAATCCTTTTTGAAACAAACTATTGAGGAACTTAACAAAACACAAAGTTGCCCTTAGCTCTCAACAGTCACCATCCCACTTCCCTCTTGGGCAAACATCCGGCCAGAAGTCAGGCAGGGAAACAACTATTCTTGCTGGGATGTCTGACCCTCTTCACTCATGTGCCCTGCACTTTTCCAAAGTGCCTTCTTCTTCTCTTCAAACCCCGTTACCCAGTCTTCTGTCAGCACTGCCTTGTTATCCTGTGCTGCCAGTTAGGTGACACAGGAGCATCCCTGAAGCTGTTCTGCACTGCTCTTGCACCTGGAGCCCCCAAGCACCCCACCTTTAAGGGTTGTGGGGGAAGTGGCATGCTTTTCAGTGGTTGCTTCTCCTACTCTGACCAAGACCAGGGAACTGTGCTGGGTAACAGCTCCACCTTCCACAAAACTCCCTCATCTTACAGGTCTTACTTATCTTTAGTAAATTCCATTTCATCACGTCTCAAAGTTTGAGCTTCAGCACCAGTAATATTTGGATGACGCTTTACTTTACTTCTCCCTGTCTCACCATATAGATGACCAATAGTCAGACGAAGCTGAACCCAAGCAGGATGGGCAATTTACAACTTCTAGTGCACCTTCCACTTACTGGCAGGTGTTTACTCCTCAGATATAATGTTTGTTCAATGCTTCAAGCTCTCTGTAGATTCCATGTAGGCATCAGATGGCCAAACAAATATAGGACATGTATGCCTCTGCTTGGACAACTAATCATGTTTCAGCCTATTGATCATTGCAATGCCCCTGAGATTCCTAGGCAACATTAATGCAGTGAGCTACAGCAAGGGCTAGCACCAAAAATCCTGGAAAAGTTCCACTTAATGTAAACAGAAATGGACCATCTGCTCAGTGGCACAATTTTGCTGTAAACAATTAAAAAATCCTGCAGTTCCCTGCCTCCTACTCACACCAAACACTTCAAGTTCTTTCTTAGACTATTCCAAGTCCTCCACGACATTGGCTCAAACTAACAAGAAGAACCTTTTAGAAACATGACTTCTTGTGAGAACTGTGCTTGACCAGAATAATTGAGTTGTTAAGCAACATGGAAGACTCATTAGTATGAGAAATATACAATATTCCCAGGAAATGGATCTACATTTCAGCAACCACTTCTGCAAGAGATTATAATGATGCTTAGTTCATGCTAGGGTTTGAATTAAATGCAAAGCCCATTTTTTAACTTAGCTTTCCTCTGGTAATTTCTTGACAGTGATAGTAACGATGATAGTCTGTAGTGAAAACAAGCATATAACTCCTACACAATAGCAACACAATTAGGAGAGATGGTGGTTTTGTTTCTAAATGCACCTGGGAAGTACTAAGATAGCACAGTGATGGGCATAGCATAGGAGCAGAGACAGTAAATGCCCAAGAAAATCAGGATTTGTTTTCCTGATACTGGGAGCTGTGCAGCTCACTTTGTTCAGTGCTTCACCTGAGCTGATCCTCTTTCTGCACCTGCCTTCGCCTGAGCAGAAGAGTCAAACCACTCAGGGTTTTACCCCTGCCAAGCTGGTACATCTGCTGTCTCTCCTATCAGCAGCAGAATGCTCTGGACTTAATTAAGGTGCATACAAATGCCAATATTTATTGCCAAACTCTGTTACAGTACACTTTGTTTCCTTTCCTAAACTCCAACTTGGCATTTAAAATGGTGACTGTCACTTCAGGATCTGCAATGAAAGAAGTGTAGGGTGAGATATTCAAAGGCTGAGAAGAGGTTCAGGAATCTAAGACCTGCCTGTAAAAGTGTCTGAGGCACTTAGGGCCTACCCAGTAAAGACAGGTATTTAACCCCAACTCATTTCAACCATTTCATCTCAGGAACATGAACTCCTGTGAGGTCTCAGGAACTTTTGGAAGTGCTTTTTACACTTATAGTAATTTTGGGAATTTATGAGTACTCCTCTCTCCTCTCCTCTCCTCTCCTCTCCCTCTCCTCTCCCTCTCCTCTCCCTTTCCATTTGGTAATTACAGTTTCCTTTCCCTCATTAATACTTTTGTCTTTGACCACAAAGCTGTCTTATTGCTTTCTCCTCTTACTTGGAGTATACATTGTTGACTCTAAAATTACTAACTTGAAAATTTGCCTTTAGGCTACTCACATAGCCCTACATTATGATGACAAGAAGGATGTAATTACTGGTTTGAGACAGAAGACCTGCTACGGAAGGCCAAACTGGGACAATGAGTTCAAGCAACTAGCTGACAACCATCCTAGGTAAGGCAGGTTGGCTTCTAAGGTTGTTAGGTAACTCTTCTCTCAGCATAAACAGTGGGAGAAGAGAAGTGCAAACCTTTCTAAATGACCATTTTAAAATAATTTAGGGGGTTTTTTTTGCTGTGTGGAAAGAAGATTTATGCTTAATGAAGCTTTTAATGAAGAAATCTCGGAAAGAGAATGCCAATAAAATCTAATTTTTGGACAAGAAAATCTAATATTTAGAAGCATTTCAATATCCTGGCCTTTGTCCAGATATAATTGAAACACACAATCCAATTACTGTTCTGCACAAAGGACAAAGTAGCATTAATTTCCCTTGAAGATGGTTATTAAAGAGATAAACTGTGATTTTTTTTCTTATGATGTCAAGGATATGTTTGTTCTCCTAACATATTTGGCTGCTCTTGCAAGAATATGCTGTTCTGTTATTAGTTCATCTCTGCTGGCAAAGACAGTTCATTTGAACTTGGTGGATTCGCTAGTGGTCTGAGAAAAGCTGCTTTGTTCCTGAAAGCCTTTGAAGGAAGAATTTGAAATATTTTGTGTTCAGCAGTAGAAAATTCCAGAATCTTTGTAACTCTATGATTTCCAAACATTTACCTGCTAATGCAAAATAAAGGCTTGCACTTGGGAGACAGAGATACAAAAAGAAGAATTTTTTTTAAAGATGAAAAAGACCCAAGAAAAAGCTGAAAGGGAGGAGATCAAAGAGAATACAGTAAGCTACAAGAACACCATAAAATTGCAAAAATAACAGTAATAGAGAAACCACTTGATGGAGGTCAAAATAAATACAATAATGAAATACAAGAGATTAAAAATAGAAAAAGGCCAAGAGTAGCAAGTATGATTTTTGAAAGACCTTTTACAGGGATTCTATTGCATAAATAGAGCTTTTAAAGTTATAGTTGGAACATTACCTTTTATTACTTTTGTTAAGTACAACTGAGAAAAATCTGGTTTTCCGATGCTCAGGGAAGGAGATGGGCATTAACTTTCTATACTGGACCTTGTGGTACTTCCTTATAAAGCCAGTGTTAAAGTGACAAAAAAATCTGTATTTGCTTCTGAACCTAGATGACCATGTTTATGGTCAATGTTGAACCTTTTAAAGAAAACCTTGCATGAAATAAGAATTCCTTATGAGAAAAAATTACTGTACCTTTTCTTGCTCTGAGTTACAGAAGGTTCAAGAGGCAAAGAGACTCACGAGTTTCTATTATGTGATGGAACAATCAGGTTTTTTGAGCTGACTAAATTTTGGGTCCCTGCACTTAAGTCCACAGACTTTCCCTTGGCTCCAACAGTGTCTTTTAGTGGATTAGCAGGAATATACCACTCCAGGTTAAACCTACTGCAATGAGCAACAGAGCAATATGGGCACTACTTCTTGCGTCCATGGCTTGGGCACCCAAATCATATCTACAACCCCTCCTTTACAGGAGAAAACTTTCTGAAACTCATGCTGTCTCTTGTCACTTGCACTGCGTTTATGTAGATTGAGCTTTCCCCAGTAGCACAGCATGTGTGTCTATCTGTGTGTACATACACGTTTTAAAGCAATAAATGCTGTGTACTTAGAAGCAAACCCTTCAAGGCATTTTGCAGCAAGTAACCATTTTTCCAGCTCCTTGTAAAGGATGAGTGTGCTTATGAACACAATTTGTTACATTGGTCATGTTCTTATTTCATAAGAACTACCTATTTACAAATTTTACTATTAAATCAGTCACTTAAAAATTGTCCATAGGCAGAAAAGTGTTGGGGGGCGGGGGGGAGAAGAAAGCTCAAAAGTAACTCAGAATTTTGCCTATTTTTTAGGAAAAAAAATTGACTCGGATGGAAAAAAAAGCATTGAAAATTTTCAGCCCAAGCAGCGTGTTGCTTCTCTGATTAAAGAAAGCTATGAAGATCAAAACCAAGGAACTAGTATTTAAAATAGTTTGTGACCTCTAATATAGCAATCCAAATAAATAATGCATAAGACATAACAAATGCTAAAGTATTAGAATAATTATACTGTAATACTTTGCGACAGTAACACAAATTTTGAAAATGTATTTCTCAAAAAGCCATTTCAAAAGATGCAAAGCTGAAGGCAGCCAAAAGGTACAGTTTATCCACTTACTCTGCTACTCTCATGTTTTTGTTGTTCTTGTGATTACAGCAACAGCATCGGAGTATTCTTCTGTGGACCCAAGACTCTCTCTAAGATCCTTCAAAAGACCTGCAACTCATATTCATCAGTTGATCCAAGAGGAGTTCAGTTTCACTATAACAAAGAAAGTTTCTAGGCTCTACTTCTTAACTATATAATGGGTAATAATACCAAAGTGTGTATTTTTTCCTCACTTCCTCCTGTCCTCTACTCATTTTGCAGCATTCAGGCCAGACACTAGGAGCTGTAAATTGAAGTAGATGCATTGACTTCAGTAGAAAAATGCTGTCCTATGACAACTAAAGGTCTGGACCCCATTCTTAGCCTTTCCTTCAAAGAACTGAAGGGGCAATTCGCCATTGCTTACTTAACGATGCTGTGAATCCATCTACATCTGTGTGCAAACAAGCACAAACCACTACCCTTTGAAGAAACAGGCATGAGCAAAATGGGCCCTTAGAACTGCACCTCACTGTTGTCTATGATCAAACTGCTACTGCAGGCAGTACTTGATTCCAAAAAGCCCAAACATTCAAAACATTTTCCTTCCTGGTGTTCTGATATTGCACTTCTTATAGCCTACCCCTGCACACACATCCACGTCCACATCCATCCACATCACCTTTTGTGCCATAGCAATACTGTTTATATCCACACTGTCCAACAAATTCCTTTTGCCCTACCAAATTATGCGCTATTTAAACCTGCCAATTCCACAGCGATGGTGGCTGCACATACTATAAGCTAATACGTTCTGAGGGTTAATATGTTAAGGAGATTCCAGAAAATTTTGCACTCAGCAAATGGATCTCCTGAGACAGGCAACTGAAACTGTGGAAAAAAGTTTCAGGTGCCCTTTAAATGTCATACAGCTTCATGGGCACTGAAGAATGGGCTTTAAAAGATAACAGAAACACAGATATATGACAGCGTGACTGGGGTGGGAAGGCACCCCTGGAGATCACCTACTCCAAACCCCCCATACCCCCAGTGGCGTACAGGTGTAAAATGGGCCCATACATATATTTCTGCTTAGTGTTTTTAACGAAGTCTGATTCATACCTGCATTTCTCATTTTTAAATCTGCCTTGTAACTGAACTGATCCAGGCTTTCCTCACAGGTCACAGGCTATGTTACTCAGACTGTTACTCTGTTCTCTGCTTTACTCCCATAGCACTGAGAGGTAGATGCAAAACAGTAAGTCATCTTTTCACCTCTGCATACCTTCTTAGGCAGCTGCTGGGAGTCCTGAAATATAATATAACTGAGGCCACCTGCAGAGCTGCTGGAAAAGCCGTTGTCCAACAACTGTGTTTCAAACAACCCATCCAAGGCCCATAGAGTGTTCCCTGTAGATCCATCTTCTGACGTGCTGGGACTGCCATAAAGCTACGCATGCCATCTGTACAACCCCCTGTACATCTTGCTTTCTCCAAGAGAGGACTCTCTCCATCTGGTTAGGCCAACCAGCCTCGCAGCACCTTGTATATCAAAGCAATGAAACAATGGCCTTCACGCAACCTGAATCTTTACTCACCTTCTTGGAGCTCTCAATGCCACTAGAGCTGCCATGTCTATAGACCCCACCCCCTAAAGCAGTCCTTCCCTCACAGTTCTGTACTGCTCATCTTTGATGTCTGAGTACATCATTGCTACCTTCCTAGACCTGATGTTGTCTTCCACCCTCAAGTATTATTTGTACTTAGCTTTGGGACTTTAGCACTGTCAAGCATGTGGAACACTTGATAATTCTAGAATGAGGGAGAAACAAAACTAAAAATATGTGAATTTTGTAACATTCATATAAGCTAGAAATTGAGAAAAATATTTCTCTATTCTCCAGCACAGAAAGTTAAAGAAACACTATATATGAGTTGGACTGAGGCTAACAGAGTTCACGAGAATCACATAACACATTTACCTGGCCACTGAATAAAAATGGGAGGTAGAAAGCATCCTGTGTATGTCAGCACTCAAGACAAATGATAACATTATATACGTATACTTAAATGCACACACACAAATGCCGACTGGAGGGGACATAACTGTATAGACAAAAGAAACAGAATAATAAAAATTATGTCACAGGAGACTCCAATATTACTTTATATCTCTTCTATTAGGGGATACAGTATGTGTGAACTGAGATTAGTCTGCAAGATACAGTTGTATTACTATTAAGTTTAGGGCAATGCATCTTTGTTTTAAAATTGTTGAAGTTTTTTTAAACGCCTTCCTATGTGAAATGATTAATGCGGTGCATACTGTGTAGCAGTAGAGCGAGTGGAGAATTAGAGCCTCTGCCAGTTCACCTAGAGGCATTTATCTTTTCTTTTTTTCCCTGGTGCCCATGTTGAGCCTCAGGGTAAGCTGACACATTTTTTTAATATAAATTAAGGTTCTTTTTTTTATGTGTGTTGAAATTCTTGAAGGAAATGAGAAATGTGTGTAGGCACCAATACCAGCTGCCATTGTATGAAAGAAAGAGGTGACAATTTCCTGCAGATTCTGAATGACTGTTTTAATGCAGTTGGATCGGAGGTAACAAGCACAAAGATATTGTGCTGCCAGAAAAACAGGATCTGTTCTCCCCCTAGCCTCTTGCAACAAGATGTAACATTTAGCTTCTGGCTCAACATAGCATCTCTTCACTGCTTTGATTTATTCACACTTTTGCAAATCACTGTGGTATACTACAGGAGATGCATTTAGAGCCCTTGTTATAGTTCATTGAGTACCACTGCTGTTATCACCACCAGAAGAGAATTTCACTTGTAGCAGGACTGAGTGACCTAGAATAAAGTAAAAATAATAATAATAATTAAAAAAAAAGGAAGTGGGGATGTTTGTTAGACTAGGATCAAACTGCATTTAGGTTGAATGAAAATCCCTTTATTTAAATCAAAATGGGAACTAGGAAGATTTGGCTTCCTGCCTTGTTTTGAATAACACTGAACACACAGCAGCTATGATAACGTGAGTGCATATGTAATGACTCTATTATTATGTTTATATATGGAAACATCATTCACTGTCAGGGAAAATGAAAGATATCTTCATGGATTTTTTAAAAAAAAGGAAGTGTTCAGCACTGCGTACGAAAATATTAGTAAATAAAATACAGTCATAACAGCACAGACTCACCACATCCTGTGACAGAAAAATAATCATAGGCAAGTATGATAAAAATGCATATTAATTACTTTGGCTCTTACAATAAAAAGAGTGGTATTGTAACGATTACAGTTGTGTTACAATATTCTAAGTTTATTCGCTAGTAAGCGTACATTGAAATACACGGGCTTATACATTCTGGGCTTCCCCTCTCTTCTCCTCCTCACAAATTATTCACGTAGTAGAAACTATTTACGTAAGTTTGCTCCTTAGTCTGCACTGAAAGATTAAACAGGAACTGCCACTCTTAACAGAATGTCAACCATATGGTCAAGGTCAATCATCAGCCTATACCATATCATCACCATTATAAGGACTCTCCTGCTTCTTTCCTGCTTTTAGATATAATTAAATGATTAAGAGGAAATACTGCTAACTGCAAAAAAAGTGACAAAGTTTTCAAAGGCTTGAGTACTCCTCATTAGCAGAAGATTTTATAAGAACTGCCTTAAAGGCAGCTCAGCCACTCTGGAAAAGTAATAAACTAAATTACACGGTAGATTTATCATCTCAACTGGTCAACAATTTCAGTGACTTTTTTTGGGGGGGTGGAAATCACCTGAATTTCTTCAGGAACAGAGAAAAGGAAAATAAAAATGTGACAGTGCTTTCACCCAGCTTGCCCTATAAATAGCAAAAGCTTAAATGACACATACATAGTTACATAGTCACACAGTCAGTCAAGTAATGAGGAATGCAAACCCAAGACGGTCAAAGCAGCACAGCAGGTGATGGACTGGAAGGTGCAGTACTGTGTGCAGCAGAGGCAAATTGTCCCTAAGCCTTCATCTCTTCTCCTGACACTTCTCGGGCAATCAAATACCAGGCGTGAAGTCACCGTGGCTGCCACTTACAAGGTGGAGTGCACTCTGCACAGGACTGCCTGGCCTAAACCTGCCTACTGCTGGAAACTGCCTGAGCCAAGGCTTCCTCACCTCAGTCAGGTTATCCGTTCTGCAGCAGCAACTCCAGCTCCCCATGTGTGATTACTTAATTGTCTGAGAAATTCTGCATTTCTGTAGGAGAAAATCAGGTGTCTGTTTCATTAACGCTGCAGCCACAAAAAGAATCCTTTTCCAGGAATGTCTACTTACACGCTACTGAACATGTTTGAATGAGAGTGGAGTGATAATCTGCATTTTTAAACCCTAACCAGTTAAGTCTATTTAACAGGTGTCTTCTTGACCTTCAACAAATCATATACTACAGTGAAAAAAATCTCAATTATACGATGGTCTTAATATATGTGAACAAATGCGTTAGTTGACATGGAAACACACTTTTTCTCCTTTCAAAAGCAAGAAAGGATGAAAAGGCTTAAATTCTTTAAAAGACACATTGATATCTTTTCAGAATACATAGAAACAAAAAGTTGTATAGTATAATGAACCACTCAAACCGACATATTTCAAAGGCTATCTGCTTCAAATATTTGCAACTGTTATTTCTAAACAATAATGACTTCTAACATGGTAAGACATTTGTATTCATCGAGGATAAAAGCCCTGAGCCTGCCAATACTTACACGTGCTTTACTAACTTCAAACAACCTTTTTACTGTCCTAGAGGACTAAATATGGTTTCCTTTGAAGCTCATGCACAGAAGGCTGATGTCAGGCTCAAGGTTGGGTCCTGAAGGCTGATCTGTATTATTCAGCTATTAAACTACTGGACTGTCTTGATTCTTGTCTAGAGAGTGTTTCTCTGGTACAGTAATTCTGAATATGAAAGACAACTTAGAGTCATGCTCGCCTTAAGGTACACAGATAAGATTGCACTTATGCACTTTAATAGAAGGCCTGGTTTTCAGTGGTCTTACAGCTTCTATTAAGCACAAAATGTGGGTTTGGGGAGAGCTTTTTTTCTTTTTTATTTTGGCTAAATGATGAATATGCAGATCTGAACATTTTCTTCTGTGGATATATGCAAATAAGCAGGTGAGAGGGCAGATACGAACGTGT